TATTTGTAATTGCTTGTTTCACAAGATTAAAAATGCTTAGGCCTGATCTCTGTCTGCTGTTTAGTGGCTAGCATGACCCTGTGCATCCCTCATAAAAAGCAAACTCCTCATCATCAGCATTAATTTCCATCAAGAAATCCATATCGCTAATATTTCTGGGATTTTAATGCAGTAACAATTTATAGCTGGTCAAATGCAGTTACCTAAATTGCTGTTGGTAAAGGACAGTTTAACTGTCTCTTTTTAATTAGAAGGTAATTTAATGTCCGAGCTGCCATGATAGTGCCGGTCATTACAGACGTCGCATTGAGCGTTCGATAACAAACAGCCCAAATATCGCTGTCCATAATCTTATGAAAGACACTCAATAATGTTGTGCTGAAACTGATAAATGCAGTTCAGTTCTGCCTTGAGCCTTATCTTTGCATGTCATGTGTGCATATATGACAAACCATTATCTGTATCTTTTATTAGAGTGTGGTACAGCAGCACAGGTGATGAAATATGCATATCATTCAGAAACAAAATGCATTTTTATTGCATCTATATCGAACATGAGAGTCAAGCTTTAGACTGTCTATAACGGAGTGGTCAGCAAAGTGAGAAAGTAAAGATTTTAGATTGTAGCTCTAGACTAAATGTGAGCATGCATTTACTCATCTCACTTGCACAAAAACAGATTCAGTGTTCCTCAAAAAGAATAAAACTGTGAAATGCAAACTCAGAATTTTACGCAAACCGGCAATAATGAAATATGATAACACATATACTTTATGTATTTAATCTCTCTTTATTATCCAGATGTGAATTTGCACTTCCACTTGAGGCTTATTCATTTCACTTTTGGTGTGAAAGGGCTGTACATTTGCCAAAAATGTAACTTTTTTTTGTTATTAAAAAAACAAGCAAAATCAGTCCAGGTGAGAATAGGTAACGCGACACATTACTTTCTATAAAAAGTAAATAATGCAATTTTTTTTAGGGAGTAACACAATATTGTAATGCATTACTTTTAAAAGTAACTTTCCCCAACACTGATTATAAGACCATTTTATTACCTCATAGAAAACTCAGATACATTGTCTACCTGGTTTGTCTGGTTTTCTAGAGATACACACAAATCAACATTATGTGTTCATGATTCTTAGACTTTCCTCATGGCAAACCTTTTTTCTTTATCAGTATATTTACTAGAAAACAAGACAACTGTACCTTAAAACAAGGTCAATTTGTGTACTAAATACTAAGAAAATATATTTCAGAGAATATGTTGTGAATCAAGTTCCTACCTCCCTGGCAAAATGTTTCGAATTAACTTCTAAAAACGTTCAAATAAATTTACTTTAAGTACAATTGCACATTTAGATAGTTTTACTGGAAAATACAGTAAGAGAAAGAGAAAAATAGGGATTAAGAAAATGATTTTTGCATGCAAGAATTTCCCCTTGCACCTGCTTTTAAAGCTAATCTAGACCCGAAAAGCAGGATCTTTTTTCCAACGTATTAAAAACAGCTTAACACAAGGAAAGAAGGGAAAGACCGAACAAAATGTTTCGGTCAATGATAACAGAGACAAATCTGTTTTGTATTCTCCAGTTTTTAGAATCCAAAAACGGAGGATTATCCCCGGATCCATTCCCTCCCCTCTCGCTCACAGATGTCTGCAAGTTTCCTCCCCCCCCCCCCCCCAGAAAAGCAAGGATTATGAAGTCAATTACATTTGCAGCACAGTTTGCTATTGGAATACATACAGTAGCTCATTTCTTTGTGTTTTTCCGTCTTTTTTAATAGTAAATACAAAGCAGTTGTGAGAAAGCAAACATGGTAATACAAACAGTATTTTTTTTTTGTTCTTTGAAAAGAATCAGGAGAAGATGAGAGGACACAAGCTATAATGTGGTGTATGTACAACCTATTTCAACATGAGCTAAAAGAGCAGAGACAGGAAACAGTTTACCGCATGTGAGAAGCAAAATAATTCGAAGCCGAATGGTGTTTCTTAACGATAAAAAATCCTGAGGATTGGATTGGTTTAAAAGAAGAAGAAAAAAAAAGAGAGAGACCCTCGTGATAAACAAGCTCTGATTTTTATATATAAAAAAAAAAAAAAAAATCTTTTTCTTAAAATAGTTTGCTACAGTTTTAGACTAAACATGCAAGACATACGACTAAGTGCAACTGAGTGAAATGTTACATCATTTTCTTAGTTACTCATTCCCTATAGGTTTGAAGTGAGGTATGCATACTAACAGTTTCTCATGCTGGATTTCTTCAGTAATGCAGAGCTACACATGCGGTGAATGCTCTCATCTACCTGCTCAAGAATAACAATCAGAAACAGCCCTGAATCCTTCCCACAGTCCCTCAGCTGCCCGGATGCTCGGTTCATTTTAGTGAACCACAGGGTGCCCGTCAATAAGAAATGCTTGGATAAATTTACAAATAGTAGTAACTGCCATTAAAGTACCTTGTACCCAGCTTATTGGTTGACAGGAGTGTTTTTTAATATAAAAAAGTAATAAGTTGACAGACACTAAAACACAATCATAGAGCATTGCCAAGATTAACAAAAGGACATCGGGAATCCCGTTTCGAATTTACAAGGTAAGTGGCATACAATCTTTTCAAATAATAAAATGGCAAAAAACAAAACCTAAAGTATGAGAACAAATAAAACTCTCATCATTGTGTGGTCCAGTCGAAGTTCAGTTCACATTGTGTTATGCAAATGGTTTTAAATTTCCTGTGACGACAGTGAACAGTCCTAAACTCTTTCATCCATATCCTTCTCCTTTATAGCCATCATTTCCTGATAGAACACTCCCTTTTTCCTTTTCATTGGCCCAAAGACAACATTGCTTTGATTTGGTCGCGTGTTGGTCTCCATCTCTGCCTCTCCTCTCCTATTTTGGTCACAGGCAAAGACATACAGCTGCCCATCGAACAACCCCTTTGGCTTTTTTATTTATCTCTCTCACCATAAGAAGCCCGACACAGTTTCAGACATTTCATCATTTCTGTGTTCGGCCAGTGCGGGGAACACTATAAGGATATTTGGCCTTTCGTTCAGCTATTGCATGGAACATAGAATATATCAACTTGTAGTATCTTGTATCTTTGGTAGTCACAGATAAGAGACATAAACATCAACTTAAGTAAAAACAAACTGAAGTAATAAATAAGAACACAGAAAGTGGTTGGTTGCAGTCATAAAAACAAAAAAACAAAAAACGCAATCGTGTACGATTTGCAGAAGCCTAATCTAAAGTCTCATCTTTGCGCAGTCTCAAAATTTGAATCTAAACTAGCCGGCGGCAGCTTCCAAATCAGAGTCGTTTCCCGGGTTCAACTGGCCTGCGTGGAAACGGTCAGTCGGAAACAATCATTTCCAAGCTGATGTGGCAAGATGCGAATGGTCATAGTGGGCCGCCCCAGTGCCGTAATGCTCAGTGGTCATGGCTGTGCCGTCAGCCTCGGTTTATAATCCCTTTAACATTTAATCCCATGTGTAATTATTATCATGTCTAATGACAGAGGCTGAGCCGGTCATTGATGTGGTGAAACAGATACCGAAACTAGAGGCAATGCAGTCTAAAGTCATCTAGACAGTCTTTGAAATGACAGAAGTGGGTCCCCCCCCCCCCAAAAAAAATAAAGTTTAATATATGCAGACAGGAATCACAATTAGCTTTTGTCTAACAATTCTCTCCCTGCTGCTTATTTCAATTTTTTTGACATTTCATTTTGCAATACAGATGATGGTTTCGATCAGCGATATGGTTGACGCTAACATGCATCACCACAGAAGGGGATTTTTGAAAGTATAATTTCAGAACGATAAACGTTAACCTGCGTTGATTTCTCTGTCATTCATTCCACGTGAAAATTAAACTTCATTGGTGCGTGGAGAGGGAGCCTTCATTATGAGTAGTGCATTTGCAGATGGACTTCATGAGCGGGGGGGGGGGGGGGGGGGGAGTGTGTGTCGGCACGCAAGGGCAATGTGACTGCAAAGTGGCGATTCGAAACGCTAGGAACAAATGACAGAAAAATACTACACGGTAATGCGACATTCTGTTTCAATTTCGAAAGGAAAGGAAGAGGGAAAAAAGAGAGCATGAGAAGCCTTAACATTCATCCAGTGCTAAGCACACCATAACTCCACGTCATTATTCATGAGGTCTGATCAGTTACCAAAACAAACAAACCCAACAAAATGAATTTATAGCTAACAGCACAGAGTAATGAGAGGACACTAATTTCAATTATTTGCCCAGGAACCCTCAAAACACCATACAGATATGCTCCAGCTGTGATGACAGCAAACTTAAAGGAATAGTGCACTTAAAAAATGAAAATTCTGTACATTTTTCATCATCATATGACTTTTTACCCCTAAAAACTCTCTGCTACCTCAGTACTCAGTGATTTTTATCATGCAATTACAATTAATGGGGAGTAGAGCTTTTAAGCTTTTACAAAAGCATCATATATTTACTCATTTTACTATAAGTTGTAGATTGATTTGGATAAGACACAAACCAAAATTTAAGCTGCTATTCACTTCATTCTTCCCTTCCTGCGAGCCGTGAGCAGATCACTGAGTCAGTGAGTTGAACACGAGAATCAGTGATTTGTGAACCAATTGATTTTCAAAGATTTGACTCAAAAGAATCACAATTCAGACCCTGCTTACTTCTCCAGTGAACTCCCAGGGAGAGCATTCCCTTTTATTATGTGAAAACGCAACCAAGTGCGCTCTTTTTGTGTTTCACGGAAGAAAGTAAGTCATATGGGTTTGGAATGACATGAGGGTGAGTAAATGACAGAATTTTCATTTTTGGCTGAACCGTCCTTTAAGAAGATCTGAAGGCAGAGGCAATGCATTAAAGTCACATACGTACACGCACACTGTGAGTGGCACGCTCATTGAAGCGCTAATGATTTGTGTGTGTGTGAGAGAGAGTTTGTGATCAGTGTTTATTCGACTCTGAGAGCAATGAGTCTTTCTCAGCTGTGTTTTCATGTCCGCTCTGGTCTCAGTGACACTTATGCCAAAACGAAGTAGAAGCAGGCCCCAGTACCAAATGTCTCTTCATCAGATGATGAGTAGAAATTGATGCATCTCGTCTTTTAAACGAAAAGTAGAAACAAATCAAAAATACTTCCAAATGGAATAGATTTTCTTATCTCGTATTTCGTTTTGTATTTAATGGCACTAAGAGTAAATCGGAAACATTTTTAATAGCTGTCAACAAGAGAATTGTGAATCCAGTCTATATCTGGAGTGGTCTCGCATGTGACCGCAGTTAGTATGGCCTTTTCGGCAGAGGACCTGGGAGAAACCAGGCTTACAGCATGTCCTCGTTCCCATGGTCGTCCTCGTAATCTCTGTTGTGGTCAAAGTCTGGACTGTGATTGGCTGTTGTCACGAGCGAAAGGGGGCCTTCGTGCTCCTCAGGGTCCAGTGGCTCCTCTTTTACGCTGATATGATGCCTTCGGAAAAAACAGAACAGTAACGTTCATTTATTTGCACAAAAAAAAAAGACGATTCTCAGAAGAAAAAAAAAGAATAAACCTTAATGAATGAATATTCTTTTGTTTATAGATATTATGTGGTGGCTTTGACTTTTTCTTTTTCTTTAATTTGAGTTTTTAAGTCGACACACCAAAGAATCGTTTTTGGTGAGGACGTCTATACAAAAAAATAAAAATACGCATAAAAATATGGATCTACAGTTTCTAGGCAATTTCGTGACAATTAAAACCATATAATCAATATGATCGAATCAGTGTCTAAATATTCAAAAACAAAAAGGAATAAAGTAACGACCAGCTGTTTCTATAATGAAAGACTAACAGAGGTGGGCACAGCAACACTCCTGATAACTCCACTTCCCTTTCAGCTCTTCCAACACCGGGATACCAGCCGGCTTTATTTTCCACAGCTGGCCTGACAACAGGGTTTTCACTTTGAATTGATAAATGAGGGAGATTAATAACATACGACTTTGCGACGAGAGAATGGACTGCGGAGAGCGGTGGCAGGCGTAGGAACGAGCGAGCGGACGTCCTGTCAGCTTCCCGGTGGTGTGCGATCAGTGCCGCTCTTCTCTCTCGTTAACATGCACAACCTGTGAGGCGGGTCTCTAGAGGACGACCCTGCGTAAGGTTCCGTCATTAATCAACTTCAAGCGTGCAAAAAGACACGGTGACCAGACAGCACGGCATACACTTTAAATACACGCAAAATTAATGCAACTTCTAACCAAAGTGTCAATAAGGGGAAGAAAAGCAGTGGCGGGGAGAGGGGAAGGGGGAGGCGCTGACGACGGGGCCCAACACAAACGCCTGTGATAAGAAACAGAGCCCTTACAAGAATAATAACGCTGTCAGTTGTAAACAAGGCAAAACATGAACCCCGGCCCACAGTCTGGGCAAAGGATTGTCCACAGAGATGAGATCTGCCAAATTTCTCATTACAGAAACACTGCAGGAATAGAGCGAGCGCTGACTGTACCGAGGAGCAAAACTGAAACGAATGAAAGAATAAACATTAGAAGCAGCTGTAGCAAAGCCTTTAAGTTAATTAGTCTCACATGGCAAACTATAGGTTTTCTCTGAGACATGTTTGGCAAATGTAATTGGCCACAATCTTTATTTCTCTCATGTGCTTCTCAGCCACGATTGTTAAGAAAGCAGCCATGCTAATGAGTTATCATATTTGTGTGTGAATAATAAGAAAACTCTCCCCATTCTATCGGTTTCAGATCAAAGCATCTCCATGTATCCATTGCCTCTCTAGCTGGAGGGCAAACATGAAATTGTTATTAATATGCAACTGAGATGCACTCCACTTTAGCCTTCATTGTAATTGGGACTGAAGCGTCTGACTGCAGACATCTGCAACAATACAAACAGGTGAGGCAGATGGAAGCCCATTTGTTAGATGTTATTATTTACGACTTTGAATCATAAGGCAGTGTGTGATTCAAAAGAAATAATGCTAGCATATAGAGGTTCTATTATCATAATGTACTTGTGTGTTTACAACATAATTACAGGCCTGGTTTACTTCATAGCATGTCAAGATGGATATAATTATATACTTATTTTAATAGTTGACATTTAATTACACCATTTGAAAAAGTTTGAGTTAACAATTTGTACACAGAATTTGTTTGATTTGAGAAAATCCAAAATAAAAACATTTTTGCAAAAGGTAACACTTTACAAAAAAGTACTGTGGTGGTACCACGGTAAAGTGATGGAGTCAGATGATAATACCATGGTAGTGGGTGTTACGTCATAGAAATGGAATTACCATGGTACTTGCCTAAAGCACATGCTATTAATATTTTATTTCATCACATGATGCTCTTGATAATGTAATCATAAAAATAAATTATGTTAATCAGAATATTCTGAAAAAAAAATGGATTTTCCTTTTCTTGTTTTATGTAGGGTCATACTTTATAAAACTCATGTTTGGGAAATACTATTAGATATTTTAATTACAGTTATAAATAATTTTTTGCATTGAAAAGTAATTTATGCTTGAACAGATTCTAAAATAAAAAGCTTTCCTTGCCTAATCTATCATTTCCACTTCCCTTTCCATTACTGAGAAAAGAAGTTTTTCAGCGAAACTGAAACGCGATGCCCTTGATAACATGATCCATAAATCTGGTTAACTTAATAAACCTCAGTGCTTTTTATGTGAATGTTTTATGTATGCTCGTACATTCTCACACTTTGTACAGCTCGTGTTTGGGCAACATCTTTGCTTTTGAGTGTGTTAAGTTGGCAAATGCCTGGAGAGGTGAGAGGCAGACAGCCTCATCCTGTCTCTCTGTATCCTGCGGATGGGGCAGGCCTGCAGCTATGTTACCTGCCATTAGCGTTTCTCTCATCCACATCTTCACGAGTTCATTACCGCGCCATTTAAAAAAAAAAAAAAAAAAAAAAAAAAACACGATTTGCTGATGTTTCACAGAAACGGCAATAAATCTGGCCGAGCAACAAATCAGCGTTCTGTCCTCCAACATCTGGAAACCATGTTGTCTGCACCGTATTATTTTAAGCTTCAAACAACACTGCGGCCCCTCCCATACAACAAGTGTATGGGGAGCTGTGGTTTCCAACCCCGACCGCAGCTCAGCTACATGGAAATCTTGGAGCAGTTTCGTCGGGGCTAATTACGACCCCCCACCCCTCCCTTCGTTGTTTTACTCTCGACAGCTCGGAGAGTTTTCGGACGTGCTGCGAGTCCTGTCTGGGTGGAAAAAGGAGGCCAGTTCTGTCATCTTCTATTCACCACTTTTGTAAATATTTAAACAAAATGGAGGCAATAATTAGGGAGGAACTCAACGTTGAACGCCGCACACTATTGACCCGTAATAAAAGCCAGTTTATAAACATCTCCTCGAAATAACACGGAGAGACACTATTTTCTTTACGAGCTCCCCCAGCCTAGAAACCTGCCAAAGGTGGGGTTTCCTTTCTAAGACTGCATTCACAATTCCTGCTTCCTCTGTCAACTGGTTTTCTATATAATTTCACGGCTGGCTAAACATCTACTGTAATGTACATCGAACCCTACTGTGCGTTCGGAGACTATTTTCAACTCCTAGCGACCTGGTGAAAAATGTCCACCACCTAAGCTGTACGAGCGTCGGCCTGCATGCGCGTGAGCCTAATGATTCCTGGACATCTCCCTGTACCTCGCGCTCTTATCTCAGTCACACACACATTCTGAAGGTGGGATGTGAGCCACTCACATAGCTGGCAGGGGTGAGCGTCCAGGGCTGCTGTCACTACCGTTGCTGTTCCCGTGGTCCATGGCCCCATTCATTTCCTCTCGGATGGCGCTGGCAAGCGAGTTAAGAGTGGGACTTCCGATGGAAGCGGTAGTGTATAGAGGTATGTTGTTCTCTGCCATTGAAGCCTAAAACAGAATGGAGGAGATGAACTCGGTGAGACCAATTCATTCAAAACATCGGGACCATTCAATGGCCTTCAGATACTTAGGCTCATCCAAAATAATAATCATTTCAGCCATTTTTAGAAGACTATTATAGAAACTATTTCAAAGTTTTTAAAGTGATAATGACGGCATGATTGTCTGTTCAAGAGAATTATTTTTTTTGATATTTTCTACAAAAAACCCCCAAAAGACAGAAAGCTTTTTAGTGCTATTGACACAAAATGAAATGCAAATGATGCAGATTAGGTGTGTACTCGATAATTATTTGATATATTTGTGCTTTATCATTCTCGTAGTGCCCTCAAGGGAATAATAGAAAACTGTAGATTCGTCATGCAAGACTGTCACCTTATAAACCAGCTAAAAGAGTAATATTTTCAGGCAAGCTTTATTGCTTCATCAACTGTACACAAAATGAGTACATACAGTACTATATTGTACAGTCAATGACTGGATGAAGGCAGGAACTAAAAAAACATAATAATATGGATAAGGATTGGATGCTGCAAGCTTGTGATTTTACCTGGAAGGCTGCAGAAAGGGCGGGACCATATCCCAAAGTGGTATGGATGTTCTTTACCAGAGCTGGACTTCTGTAGAGACAAAAATATACACACACGTTCAGCTCAGTAGTGAAACAAGTCATACTGTCTCCGGTCTACTGAGCAGATTGATTTTACACTGAAGTCAGTATTTAGAGTACAATCTGATTTCCAATGAAACTCAAAAGCAAAATCAATAGATGGCACTAAACTATCAAAAGCTCTTTAACACTGGAGCTCTGTCCCAAAACTAGCTGCCTACTTGGCCTACTTCACTTCCAATGCGAAGGCTGTTTCAAAATAATAATGCAGCCTTGTAATAATGCAAGCTTGTTTTGGCCAATATCTAAAGCAATGCATCTGTCAGTTGTGGAATAGGGAATCCCAGAATGCACTGACAAGCTAAGAAAAATAATAATAATTTCATTCGATATCGAAAAAGTATCATTCAAATTTGTACTTGATTTGATCTTGTACCCAATATTTCTGTGTATTCTTATACTTGTGTTGTTATCTTAGCAACATGCTAGCATCAGATCTTATAGAGCGCAAAACTTTTTCAGCAGCCTTGTTTGAGGAAGTATTTTGTTAAAAATAAATCCCCCTATCCACCTTTTTCCTAACGACCCTACTGCGTTTTAGATTATGGGAGTCACTTCCAGTTTGGGGAAGTTCCACTCCAAAAGCTTGTGCTACAAATAATCTTTATCTGAATGAGCTGTACAATTTCCTTCATGTTCTATTTTCAGAAGTCAGGGGAATAACGCAATGCTTGGTATTTTAATGTGACATGGTATAACAAGAATATCTATGGCACGAATATTTTTCTCCTTTTTATTTCGCTGTAACAGTATGAAAAAGACAACATATACTGTGCGTTTGTGGTCCGCTCTTCCAATTTATATTACGATATATCCCATGAATAATTCACAGGAATGCACTAAGAATTTCTCGTTTTTCTCACCAAATCCTCACGTCTCATTCCAGGTTTGTTTTCACATGGATGCTTTAAAATGTAATTGTCTCCCCTTTTCACTTCTAATCCTAGTGTTTGCTGGAATGTTTCTAAAGCAGGTAAATACAATATTTATTGTCTGTTAAAATGACAGATATATCTGAAATATTATCACATTTTTGATTAAGACAACATATGTTGCATAACAGACATATATTACTACAGTGATATTTAACTCGGCCGAAATATTGCTGAGAAAATAATCAAGCTTTTGGGGTTAATCCTGGTCTTTTGTAGTAATTTGTTAATGCTTTTACACTTTTAAATTTCCATGCGAACAGAATAATGGTGCCTAGTTTTTGAAAATGTTTATTATTTCATTCGAAGATTGAAACTTTTGCTGATGGTTTACAGTTTAACAGAAATGAATCCCAAAGCATCATGGGGTGTAGGAAAATGGTGGATAGAGAAAAAGAATGGGATGTTTACTTCTTTCTACAGTATATACTTAGAAGGTAATTGCCTATGTAGACAATAGATTACAAGGAAGCTCGCCAAGTTTTGGAACAGAGCTTATATATGTAAAGTTGTCACATTTTAAAATCACATATTAATATAAATCAGATGACACTCAAATAAGCCATTTCATCTATTATGAAAACCAGATATGACAAAAGCACAAGATACATACAGGATGAGCGAGCACATGGAGGCGGGGCATGCAGGGAGGGGGTGGGGAAGGAGGCGGAGCTTACTGTACAGGCAGATCATCACAGCTTTCGTCCGCCGCATGCTTCCTGGGGCGACCTCGTTGTATGTGGCGGCCGCGTTTAAACTCTTCATCGTCTACGGTCCAAAAGGACCCAAAGTCATCCTCAACTCTTACAAAGCATTTATGCAGGGAGAGATTGGTGCGCACAGCACCCTGGGATGGGGGAGAGGGGCAGCAAGCAGCCAGATGCGGATGTAGCAAGACAGACAGACAGTGATAGAGAAGAGGATATGAAGTGAATGAATGGATAAGCACAAGCGACCAGGGGTTATGGTTCAAACAGCCAGCACATAACTCGCATACAGGCACAGAGACGCACGCTAAAGCTAGTAGGGGGTCAATGGGCGGCACAGCACAGAGACAATGACATGGAGCCCATCCATCAACACCACGAGACACGGGTTTGCTCAGCCATGCTGTATGGGATGGCGCTGGAACACCTACCCGCTGATCTTTTGCGGCCTTCTCTTTTGGAACTCTAGCTCGTCGACAGTCCATACCGCCCCTTTAACGTTTTCTACTCGCACAAAACACTTGTGAAGACTAAGGTTATGCCGCACTGCATTCTGCAGTTGGTGTGAGAGAAAGAAAAGAGCTATGAGTGCAAAAGGAAATGTGCTGGAAAAAATTTGACATTTCAATATGTTGTACAACAGCTTTTTTTTCTTAAATAAAACCCACATTCTCTTGTATTTTACATTGTAGTACATTTCCAATAATGATGTATCATCATTTACTCACTTTGTTCAAAATCTGTGTAACAAAAAAAGAGATGTTTTGCAGAATGTCTTGAATGCCAATGGAACCAAACGGCACTAATTCTCTTCTTTGAACTGATATTTGTTCGCTACAGCAGGACTTTTAAGAGAACAATGACTTACATATGGGTCTGTTTGTCACACAAAGCCATATATGACATTTATGGTGTTTTTTTGGAGCTTGAAAGAGCAGCAGGGGACATTCTTCATAACATCTCCTTTTTTTTGTTCCACAGAAGAAAAAAATTATAGCATTTTGAATCGAGTAAATGATGACAGAATTTTAAGAATCTAAAAAAACATCCTTAAAATAAGATATATTTAACTGAAAAGCAAAATTATACATAAAAGCAAAAACATTTTAAAACATTTTTCAGACAATATATTAAATACCATGTAACATTTCCCAGTTTTTTACTAGCTGTTTTGAAGTTATATACAATAAATATGTTTTTAAATACTTATATTCAGCAAGGATGCATTAAATTAGAGTAACATTAAATTAAAAAAAGAAAACATTTATTTAAAATTGTAAGAATATTTCACAATATTACAGTTTTTACTGTAGTTGTGATCAAATAAATGCAGCCTTGGAGAGCATAATATTAAAATGTTTTTTGCAGAATAGTTTGCTATTTCCAAAACACTCCCTAAACAAAGAAATGCAATGATCAAGAGCCAGTTGTAGCAGCACCTTGGACTACCAACACAATTCCAGACTGCACAAATAGTCTGATAAACACGACTTTTTTTGGCAGTTATGACTTTAGCACTGTAGCTGAACAATGAGGGGAAGAGAAGTAATTCTAACATGCTCTGCTTGTTGCGTCCTTATAAATTACCCTTTCATCAGGCCATTTGTACAACATGAGGGTGATATTTAGCAAATAAAGCTCTCCTTGATTGATGGAGGTCTGTGTGGGTGTTGTCACTCTGGTGCTTTATCATTCAGCTCTGGTAAAAGTCACAGATAGTTCATCATTTTCTGCCTCACTTCAAAAACGGAAACTGAAAACGCTTGAGTTAGATGCCAATGCTCAACAAACTCAGCCAGGGGAAAACATCCTACTCAAATGACCAGATTTCCCCTTAAAGCTCTAGAAATTATTTCAGAGAAAACCAAAAAACACTTTCAAAATAAATCCAAATGAAGAGGGGGTCTCTTCCAGATACTTCTAAGGACCATTAAGTGAAATAAATCATATTTGGGGAAAAATGCATACTTTCTCTGGGTAATTTGAACTTGTTAACTAAATCTCACTGGGCAAAATGGTATAAAGTACAGCAATTTTACATGATTTCTGTTTGTATTTCTGAGGGCTGGTGGTGTTTGGAATAATTCAGATATTTTGTAATGGTCATTATGCTGTGATATCTTAATTCCTGGAAACAGAAAATGTGTTTGTCAGTATGACAGTGTTTAAATAACTAAAATATACAGTGGTGTCTAAAAGTCTGAGAACACTAGTGAAAATATGTATATTTTGCATTTTAATTTGATCTAATTTCATCATTTTTTAATTACAAATTATATAAGCAGCATTACATTATTATGAAAAGTTCTGATAAGTGAAATATAAAGGAACGTGAAAGGAAGCAAGAACGTGACCATCTAAACAAAAGTTCATATGGCAAATTTCACAAATTTTTGATTTTAAATTCCAGAACTGTAATGTAGTCTCAGACTTCCACAGTATCTCCCTTATTCTTATATGCTTGTCATGAGCGAAGAATTGTGTGGTCCAATAAGAGTGGTGTGTGCTGAATTCTGGGGGTGGTTTTCTACTGCCAGGGGCTTAACAGTTCCACATTCTTCAACAACCGAGTTTTTTGTTTTCATTAAAAAAAAAAATCCATGAAACAATGAAAATTCCAAATTCATTGTATATTAGTAACAGCAGGGAATAGAGAACAAGAACTGTGAGATCACCTTCCACGTCGCTGCATTGCGTCTGAAATATGCAAACATTCGCGTGAACCAGTTGTAGATCTCGTTTAGTGTTAGCTGTCTTTCCGGCGACTCTAGTATTGCCTGGAAAAACACACACACACACACACACACAAATGCTGATAAGCAAAAAGCTGTTTCATTTCCGTTCAAACCTGGAGCAAAAACAAAGTGAGATGCACATGGTATGTCAAGTTAAAGTTGATCTGAGGGTGCATGTAAAACAGCTCCACGCTTTTCCGTTCTGAAATGGGAGCTACTTTGTTTACTGAACGCTTCCTTATGCAAATGTGGCAATTTGAGTACAACCTTTTCCGCTAAACGACCAGAATTATTTTTTTTTTTTTTATAGAGCCAGATTATAAAGCGGCAATTATCCCGGGCCCAGATTAATGCCCGTGTGATCACAGATTACCGGTTCAGGCCTGATAATTGACTGGGCATCTCAAAGACGCCCCGTTCCTACTGTTGTGTGAAATGAATTCCGTAATAATCACATTGGCTGTAATACTTAATCAAAAGCAATTGTTATATATGGGCTTTTTGCCCCTCTATGAACAGCAAGTGCTCTCACGCTCATTTGCAGATGGCTAATCTTGAGCTCTGCTGTTAAATTGCATCTGAAATTTAATGGCTGCGGCGGTGGGGGTTTAGGGGTTTGTCTTTAAAGAAGTTTGCAGTGAAGCATGTTAGATGCATGTAAAATCTAAAGTGTAGATGCTCAATTACAATGCAATAGATGGGTTAAATGCGTCATATGAAAGTGGCTGCGGTCTTACCTGTCGTATTAACGAAGCGTATGTGAAAGGAGGTCGTACTTCAGCATTCATATAGAACTCTTTGTTCTGGACAATATCTGTTCACAAAGACAAAAAAAATATGAAGAATTGAACTAAAGAAAACCTGGTCACGCTTTACATTATATTAAACTGTAATTTGTGACAGTGTATAGGGTAAATTGTAACTAAAAAGACTGGAAAGCTATTTTCCATATGAGAAGCATACAAGAGAAGGCAAATTATATACAAACATCTCATTTTCATTACTGTGATACAAAATTAAGTAAATAAATAAATCAATAAATAAATACAGTAATCATGTGCTATTTAAAATTCTATAGTATTTATACATCATAGTAGTATTAAAAATAAAAGAATGACAGTAGTAAAATAGAACAATACTAAATCTAATGAGAATCAACACTAAGAATAATTACAAAAATAAAATAAATACATAAAATAAATCAAGATAAAATCCAGACATATTAGAATAATGAGATTTTGTGTTTAATTTGTGCTGTTTAATTGCCATAAAGATAATGTTAGAAAGCAAAAAACATTTTCATATAATTATTTTAATTAATATAATTTATTTAATTATTATTTTGGTTTTGGGGGGAAATGTGATTTGGCATATTATATCGCAAGATTCACCCACTGATTCAATGTATTGTAAGTCACAAGGAAGCTTTCCAGAGTCTGCCCGTACCTGGAGATATAGGCATGTTGTACTTGTCCGAGTAGCGTCTGCGCATGGGACCGACACTGTGCAGGCTGGTGGGGGTGATAACAGAGTGGGTTTGTGAGAGCGGCGTGAGGGGGGCAGTCGGGGTGGTGGGTGTCTGGGGTAAGCTGAGGGGCGGCGAGGCCTCGGGAGCTGTCTTGGACAAAGTTACGTTGGACACCAGGTTCAGCTGAAAAGAAGCAGAGAGCATTGTTAGTCACCACTGATGCCTGTGTGTGGATGCTAATTGTTAACACACCATCCAATCAATCTCTGCGCCACAGAGGAGCATGTTGGTTTGTAAATATTTGTAAACACTATGCTTTCGCTTTCTGCGTCCATCATTCTGCGAGCAAATAGCGTACAGCCCCCTGGTTGCCTCTTTGTTTGGTCTGCTGGCGTGCTCCCAGAATGCCTAGCTCACTCTCTTTGCTCTCGGGCAGCAGTCTTGCTGGCTGATGGAATGAGTTTCTCACTGAGCCCTAAGAGGCTCCTAATAAGCCGCAGACAGAGAGAGGTCAATCTACACTAATTACAGGCTCAAATTGTATTGTAAGGACCCTAATTAGTGGCTACTTACAGGGGTGATACTACGATTAAACGTCACATCTGAATGACCCTCATCAGCCCAATGGTTTGGCATAAGATGGTTCTTCTGGAGAATAGTTTCCAGAAAAATACTTTCTTCCTCCCTTATCAAGTGGCACGATGTGGGGGTCTAGTAATAATGGCTATAAGGTAAACTAATTAACCAGTGGGTTCGTAAAGGTGCAGTCCCGCTACCAACAGCTGCGTTGAGTCGTCAGTGTCAGATTTCCTCTTCTACTGGAGTGGAAAACGCGATCCTGACCCGATGCTCCTGCTATTAATTTGTAGGCGATGGGAAAAAAGCTAATGACACACATACATATTTCCCCACCAAATTGGTCTAATTGCTAATTTGCCAAAGGAGGCCTCGTTACCAAATTAAACATGATTTCACTGGGAGGGTGGAAAAGCGATGAATGCATGGACAAGCAGAGAGGAGCAAAGAAAAAAAAACAACAACGAGAGGGCATGCGGAGGTGGGTTTTTCGTCGTGCGCCACAATCGCCTACAGATTGGGTGAACAAATTAATGAAATGTCAAGGCTGTCAATTGCTTTGGAGGTATCAGATGTCTAATTTTGCTCTATAATGGCGGCGCTGACAGTGCAGACGGCGGCGAGGCGAGTGAAAACCAACAGACAGTGTTTAACATCTAACCCCCGGCCACGCAGATACGTCGCAGGCCACGCAATTACCACACACCCTATTAACGGTCATTACCATACAGATGCTCTGTTTGATAGACAGGTACATAATAAAGAAATTTGAGGGATGACAGAAGCTTCATCCTTGACATGTCATTGTCTTCATGCTTATCTAACCTTTTTTTGTTGTTAATTGCTTTCTCTCTGTGCTAAAATCACATTAGAAAACCAATAGTTCTGGTCTTCGATGCTTATTGGTCAATAACGGGATCCAGTCATGTTAAAATTCACCATATAGTACCAGTTATGATTCCTTGCTACTGTATATCACTGCACTGCCTTAGTAAGGGATTATATGAATATTATTTAGGAAGGCAAGGGAGTTGTTTGCAGGGTTATCATCATTAACTAAAACCATAAAAACATTTTTAATACCTAAAAAATTAAATAAAATGACTGAAATAAAAAAGTATAAAAAAAACTTGCTTCACAACTATCTGAAATAAAACGACTACAATTAAATAAAATAAAATAATAAAATAAAACTTTGTAAAAAAAAAAAAATATTGACATTAAAAAAGGAAACATATACACTACCGTTCAAAAGTTTGGGGTCGGTACGATTTTAAATACTTTTAAAAGAATTCTCTTCTGCTAACCATGGCTGCGCTTATTTGATTAAAAATACAACAAAAATCAGTTATAGTATTAAATATTATTCCAGTGTAAATCAGCTGTTTTCTGTGTGAATATATAGTAAAGTGTAATTTATTCCTGTGATCAAAGCTGAATTTTCAGCATCACCAGTGTCAGTGTCTTCAGTGTCAAATGATCCTTCACAAATCAGTATAATATGAGGATTTGATGCTCAAGAAACATTTATTATTATTATCAATGTTGAAACAGTTGTTGGTCTGTCAGTTGTACAGTTTTTTTTTTTTTTTTTGGATTCTTTGATGAATAGGAAGTTCAAAAGAACAGCATTTGTTTGAAATAGAATCTTTTGTAACATTATACATGTCTTTACTGTCACTTTCGATCAAATTAAGTATTGATTTCTTTCCTCCAAAAAATAAAAATAAAATTCTCACTGACCCCAAACTTTTGAACGGTAGTGTATAAATATGACAAAAAAAAAGCTAAATTACTAAAACTTCAACTTAACTTTAAAATGAAAAAAGAAAATACAAAAAGAAAATCTAATTCAAATTATTTACAAAAATTATAATAGTATATTATTGATTCTAAAATAACGCTGGTTGTTTGTCATACACTTATTTTTTTTTGTTAAAGAAAATGTGAAAGCGGTTTTTAAATGAATAAACGTAAAAATTTTAAATGAAAAATGTAACTTTAGATTCCATTAAACACACACTAAAAGATACAGCCTAAGTCTGAGCATATAAGACCTATCAGGCTTTCCCTGCAAGGATAAAATGACATGCACAAATAGGGGGACTAAGAAAAGGGACTCAGTTTGGGCCAGGGGTTTTGAACAGTATGGACTCATTCAACCTCTGTGCACATCAGCTAGCTTTGTTACCTATATTCCTCATCCACAGCGAATAGCCTCTACAATAGGCCAGACAGGCGAGTAATGACCCTCCTTTTGTTTTCCTGTACCATTTGGGTGCTCTCCAATACACCCGCAAAATGAGACTTGAGAATAAAAATAATTAAATGGTAATTGGTGATCTAATTATACTGGCTTTCACTTGCCAAGCTGCCATGGAAAACAGAAGACAAAGCTGCTAAAAAAAGCTAAACAAACAACAACAAAAAAATCTGCTGTTTAATTATGGACAATGAAAAGGTCAGATCACTGACGAGAACGCTTAGTGACACCTTCGTTCGTAAACTCGTGCACGCACATGTGCACGCACAAACACATAAACAACTGCTGCCTGAGGCAAAATATCTCTTAAAATGAGCTGTTGATAAATATGAATGTTATTGGGGCAAGATTAATGAGCAGTATATCAGACCGCAAAAAACATCTAATTTGTTCATAAGTAAAATCGTGACTCTAAAACTAAAGACACATTTCAAAATAAGCCAAGCTAATTTGAAATAAATGTCAAGGCTTTTAGCACAACAATGCTGTTGAGTAAAACGTGACCAAATGGAAGCTCTGTAATGGTAAGTAATGGTAAAATTAAATAATGGCTTCTGACCATCAAGCATACAGTACACAAAAACAATAATAGCAGCTCATAATAAAGTGGTTATTTGTAAGGGTCCTCCTCTCTGCTACAAGCTGCCCGTGGGGAGAGATGGCTAGCTAACAACACTATCAATATTCCAGACCGATTTTTATACACAAGCGTCGCTGTGTCAGATACCTCTGTACAAATGCTAATCCAAACAATCAGCATGTGACAGAGGCAGAGCTCCACTGAATGAACCACCATCCCAGGACACCATCTCTGGGCTCCTGAGCACCACGGGGCCCCTGAGCAGTAAATAAATGATCAAACCGAAGAGAGGGCGACTGATCAATGATCAATTTGAATATTTGTAATGGTCTGTGAACCCTTGTTTTTCCATGAATTGTTGTAAAATAATTTCAAAAGAATATGTTTTAACTGTATGAACAGCTGTAACGTAAAATATGGTCCAACAATGTTAGAAAAAAAAAAAAGTAAAGAGTAACATTGTGCATCCCAATTTAAAAACTCATACTGTACTTTGCCTTAAAATTATGTACTTTCATTTGTTTCAGTATGTAAAGTATGCAAGTATTAGGACTAACAAATAACATCAGCATTTTTCACAGTCAAAAGTGAATGACAAAGAACTGTAAAAGCAAACAGAGATGCACTCCAAAAATCCACCTGAGAAAGTATATAATCAATGCACATTCAACATACTATCATTTTGTGTGCTCTAATTCCTATCTAACATGTCATTTAGGATGGATAGTATGCAAAGACATGAGTACTCACTGGCTGTGGGGTGGGTTTGGGCTCTGTAGACTTCACATGAAGATGAGTCATCATGGCTTGGAGACGCTCTTTATCTTTTGATAACTGTAATAAAATAAAAAAACAGAAAAAAAGACAGAAAAATTATAATAAAATTTAGAAAAGGTTAGATTTTTTTTTGACATGCATTTTAGTGTAATATTCTCTCAGCTATCAGTAGAACAAATAACATCTTGTGGAAGGACAACTGACATATGCATGTTTATTCATGACATACATGTTCTCAGAATGTGCATGTGACCTTTACACTTGATCTAGAGACACAACCCTAAGGGTTTATTAGCAAATGAGAATGAACACACACACAATAGCCTTCAGTCATGATTACTTCAGCCAAAGTGAATCCACAACCAACATTAGAGGACCTCCCCAACCTCCACACACTCTGATCTGGACCAAAAACATTGTTAGTCTGAGTAGATCATAGAAACCATTGGCACCAATGGACTTGGTCTCTATGGTCTACTTAGGCTTGCTTTTGAGGAATGCAGCCTATGTAGTTCTGCTCCTCTGAGCTGCTACCGTACTTCTCCTGAATCTACACGGTATGTGTGGTTCTTTAAATCTCTCTCTCTGCTTTGGTGTAGTATAGAAGAAAGGTTTGAAGACTTTATCGGCATCATGACAATCCCTCATGTAACAGCCTAATTATATTTCGAGCATTTGAATTGAGCATAGAGTATAAATGGCTAATATATGGACAGATGACCATGTACAGTAGATAGAGAATGATCACTGGACTTTGATGCCTGTGGTGAATTTCACCAGCATGCAAAAAGATCCTATAATTAAAAAAGTCGTATACATTAAGAAATTAAAATATTGATACAAATATAGAGCTGGATTTGACCTCAAATTGCCTGCATGAGCACAACAGTTCAATGTGTTAATTGCTGCACAATGGCTCTGGCACTTTCTAATGCGATCTGACTGAATCCAAGAGAGAATATGTCTCGCTTCTCCTCTTAAAACCGAAACTCTACACTAACCATTTATCCTCAGCTCTATGATGCCATTCGGTGAGTATTTGTCACGATTAATGTGTATTAACAAGCAATGCAATACAATAAACAAAATGAGTCAATGAATCCATTGAAATGACTGGTAGCGCACCCACCATTGTTGGTGCGCCTGGGTTTTTTCACAAAGTGTTTTATTGTGGTGCCAAATAGTTAAAAGTCATAAACGACTTTAAAACCCAGTAAAATTGGAAATGTAATTATCTTGTGGAGTTAGCCCTAGGGCACTCCATATATCTTTGCCTAGCTGTCATGCGAACATAACACATTTTTAATGACTGGTTACTCACAAATGTACAAAATAATTTCATTTTTATCCCTCCCTCTTCTATCTCTGAGCTGCTACTTGAGATAAAACGAGTGAGAGAGAGAGAGAGAGCGAGAGAGAGAGACAAGTATCAAAGTTTTGATGAAGCCAGAAAAGGAGATGAACGAAGAGAAATTACATGATACCTGCAATTCCAGCTGTTGAACTACTTGCATCTGTACCCGGCACTGCGCTGTGCTCCTGTCATCCAAGGCATGTTCATTATTCAGATGTCTACAGAGAGAGAGAGAAAAAAAAAAAAAGAGAGAGAGAGAGAGAGAGAGAGCAGCCTTCATTTTAGTACCATATTTTACAGCCATCTATTAAACATTTGATAAAACTTTCATGGTAAAATATTGAATTACATTATCTGCACATTCTGCAGGGCAGTCATTTATTTCTCCATATTGGAAAAGTGAAAATGGCCTGAGATGCGCACATACTAAAATGATAAAAAAGTAAATAAAGCCAATGTCCACACATCCACAAATATCAAATTCCCCAAACACAAATGAAGAGTGTTCTAACAAGATCTCTGCATTACCGGAAATAGAAGCGCTCCTTACATGCCTCATGCATAATTCACGAAGTGGCCGTTTTTCATGCAATCCTACAGAAACGGAGTTGAGTGGACGGGAAAAGTGCCTCGCCAAAACTCAGGTGAATAAAACGATATTATAAATTGTCCGACGTGCACTCCACAACCCTCCCAGCTTTTAAAAATTAAATGGATTCTTCTTATTTTTGGTGCCTTCTGCAGTTAATTATGTCATCTAGATTAAGAGAACTCAAATGAAGCCAGGAGGAAAAAGGCAAAGGACAACAAGGAGAAAAGAGATGGAATCTGTCATAAACTTGAATTATGAATATAATTATGCATGATTATTTTATACCGCCAAGACCTTTTTTTTCTCCCTTGCACGTTTATAACTAATCTAAATAAGTAGCTGGCCTTGGCAAAGCGGGCCAAGCTTTCCTTTTTTTTTTTTACCTCTTCTTCTTTTTTTTGTGGTGATTTATATAAAATGGTGGAGATAAGACTCACGACTGAAGGAAATATGATTGGAGGATCTTTATCAGCCCTCGCATGAATTATGGTTTGAAAATGCTTATGCAGGGGCATTTCATTAATCATTTAATCATAATCCGTGCAGGATGTTTGAACTGATTTCACAAATACCCTTTCATTTCACTACTTCATTATGCCTGCTAATGGATCCAATATATTATATATATCATAAATTATATCGCATCTTCACTGACCATGTAGGTCACTGTCACCAGGCAGAGGCTGGTGGAACGGAACAGTAGCGTTTTCCACTCTTCTTCCCAAATGTGCGTTCACAGTCTTCTGCCGCAAATCAAAATGTCGTGCCCGGACCTGAGCAGGGGCCGAGACAAGGGGAGCCAGAACTAATGTTGATGGTGTAATAAATTTGGCGAGGTGGCGTGACATGATGGCAGCGGCGCCATTATTAAGAATAAAGACAACATACGAGCACGGCTGAAGATACATGTGGGGAAAACACACTCGACAACACTCGTGACAGAGAGCGGTTTTGACTTCGGAAGTGGAGCACTCAACCTTGAAAGGGAAATGATCTAAACGAGCGTCAAACGGACTCTGTTTTCCTTCAGAATGAGCATATAAATACCACGTGTCTTTTTGAACGTTGACACTGCATGAATGCACCTTTAAAGATATTCTGAATAGATCTTTTCGTAGAAATAACACAAGGATTAGAGGCGGCGAGTGTTTTAACGTGGCCATGATATATCCACACCTTGTTTAAAACTATACTATGTCTGTTCTGGCTTCCAACATTAATCAAGTGAAAACAAGCCGCTTTTGAAGTCAGGGAAGGTTGAAGAGGGATCATGTAAACATTTCAAAACAACCACCCAGTTTTCATTTGCGGAGAGATAAAATAGGTGCAGGGCGTCTCGCATTTTCAATGAACATGGCTGGACGTGACATGCTTTGGAATTCGTAGTTCGCATCACCCGGCGAGCCCCCGCTACCTCTTTTCATCCTTTGTTACAGTGGACGTTTCTCTTTTTTTCCCCCGTCCTCTCCTCCGTTCCGTCTAATGACATGTAGAGTCACAGTGCATAATTAATAGGAAATGAAATATTCAAATGGCCCTTAATGCAGCCTCTCGGAAGAGTGTCTGGACAAGAGGAGCTCCTGAGAACGGCAGAATTGACATCGGAAAGACTATGAGCGCTGGCATGTGTCACTTTCTGGACTTCAAAGGAAGGCTGTTTAAAAGCTTTCTGGCAGGATGACAGCCCTTAATGTAAATGGCCACAATAAAACAAGTTAAATAGACATTACTTAAACAGTCAGCATTTTACATATCACTGAAGCTGCCCAGGTTTTAATGATGCTCTAGGAGGCTGACGCCCTGAAAGGTCTTTTCTAGTATAGTGTTGGCGGGACGAACTATTGTTTATTCCCAAACACACGCAGCTGTTTCAATAGCTAAACATCCGCCTGTTTTTCCTTAACTCGTTGCATTATGTATAAGAATTATGCTTATCTACTGATTTTGTTTACTCATACTGCTTGTCTTTGATGGGTAAACACCCTTTTCAGGATGGGAAATACAAATGTGCGTGTTTGCGATAGGTAACAGTAAGCAGAAACCAGTTCTAAGACTAATACTCTACAAACTGTATTCAAATCATTAAGCAATGTACATTTTAAAGAAGATAAATATAAGATGACACCAAAACTCACAATACAGAGTTCGACCTTTCAAATATCCCTGGTCATAGATGCCTTGGACCTTTGTAAAAGCGTCCAATCTGTTATATAAACCTTTGCCCCTTCCTGTTCTGCTGGAAACACACACATTGTGACTGGTTTCCTTTTTTTATTTATTCGAATTATCATCCAGCACGAGATATTTCCCTTTAAAGACATAATAAATATCCATATGGTTTAAAACAACACTGCCGCACGTTATCGTTTGTTGTTGCTGGCGCGGCTGGCGGAGATCCACGTGACGTGAGTGCGCATCTCTCACTGTTCCTCGCTACGTGGCCCCGGGCCCCCATCTCTAGCTACCCAGAAAACTCTTATCATCCAGCTAATTTACTCCCTGATTTCTGTTTATGGTTCTTCAGGCCTGTTGGGTGGAGGATGTACATGTGGGAATGTTTAGCACATGGACGGTTAACACCTTCAGCGTGCCAGCTGAACTCTCACCCAGCCTCGCTTTTTACAAAGGCAGCTTTGTAGAGCATCTCCAAATGTTTTCTCAGCATGTTCCAAGCAGTTTAGTGCAGGCAAGAAAAGTAAACAAGATGTTGCCACGATAAAAACACTTGTGTAAACATCGCAGAGTGTACATAAAGAGAGAACTTCTCTCTCTCTGGCTCACTCTTTTTCAGCTCTGAAATGCTAATTTCTCTTATTTCAATAAGCAAATGGTGAATCATGGGTTTGGCCAATAGAAAAAAGGCAACGATGTGAACCACAATCCAAAAACATTTCAGATCCGTGGTTTAGAAACTTTCTCAAACTCTTGGGGGAGAGAGCGAACACACTTTAAATTTTTCTTCACAGGTAAACAGATTCGAGATAGACTACCGTAATTCCTCAAATAAAGACCGGGGCCTTTATTTACCTGAACTGCAGATGGTAGCCGGCTTTTATTTGAAGCAGGCTTTTATTAGAGGCAGGCCTTTATTTCTAATTCGCGTTCCCCGCCCGCCCGCCAGCCAAGTTTCCATGGTGACGCGTCGTGCTTGGTACGTGTTCACCAGAGCCAAAATAGCGCTGTATGACAGATGTAGCGCTTTTATTTCTAAATATTAACAAACTTGCTTACCATGTCATCAACTATCTTCTATTCTGACTCTCAAATCCCTGTAAGTGAGTTTGTTTTGTCGTTTAAAACCCTTTATAAATTATCTTGATCTGTAACGTGAGATGGGCACCGCAGTTCAGAGATTCCTGTCTGTTGGATTTGTTACGTTACAGCGCGTGAATTCATCAGTTTCTCCCGAAATACATGAAAGTAAGTGGCCGATGAACTGGGAGAAGAATAGAGTAAACTTTATAGTTACTTACACTGTGTATCTGATATGAATAAAACACGTCGCCAAATATATTTGAATGGATTGTTATTGCTGCTTCCATAGACACCATTGTGTATTTTACAAACTATAAATGTATTGTTTTGCTATAAATCATATCTATTTAAATGTCTGAAACCTAAAATAAACATGTGGTTAAAAACACTGAATAGTTGTGATATGACAACCGCTGAGCGAGTCCGTCTTTGAGTGTACACTAATTTTTCCCCGGCCTTAATTTGAGACCGGCCTTTATTTGTCCGCGTTGACCACGCCCCCGGGCACTATCAGAGGCCCGGCGTTTATTTGAATACCGGTCTTTATTTGAGGAATTACGGTATAGATGTTACTATCTGCAAAAGAGCCTGGGCCAGCTTTAAACATGCCCTCAAATAAACTGCCACTAGGAACCCGCTGTTTAAAACCCAAGCTTCGACCCTGAAAGAAACAGAGGTGGAAAATAATAAATAAAAAAAAACACACAAGACTGAGAAAGGGGTAGGAGTGCAGCTGTGCTTCTGCTTACCACTCGTTTTTCTCCTTGGTATCGGCTTGTGGGTCTTTGAGCCGGGCTTGTTTTAGTTTGAACCCGGGATAATGGAACAGTGTCATATCTTGTTTAGAGTGGGACTAATACAGCCTGACACACACTCACTGATCTGCTGCCACACGGCACATGTTCTCATCCTCTCATCACAAACACACACACATAGTGGAGATTAAGTGAGACCAGGTCTTCCTCAGAGAAGGGATCAGGGTGAACGCTGTGTAAACTGTGCACCTTTAGCCTGATCTTTGGTTTAGGTGTTATTTAGGGAGCGTGCCGCTGTGTGTTGGCCAGTATAGAATGGACTTTAACAGCATGGACAGGTCAGGCGTGATTCAGTTGAGTTAATACATAGTGGGCAGGTGAACAGACATTGGTTGCAGGTAAAACCAAAGCAACAGTTAGAGCAGTGGTGTTTCAGATACCAGTGTGGTGCTTGTGAGGGTGATGCAGATTGATTGTGGAAAAGTGTATTAGGCAATTGCATAGCATTTTTTTTTTTTTACTGAACCCAAACTTTTGTATTTTACATATTTGTTTTTCATAGTAGTAAAAAACTACATTGAAAATGTGACTGGCACAGCTCAACGTAAATCCCTGCACGGGCCTCAAATCTAGGCCCTAGCCCGGCGCTTGTCTGACAGCTTATTGAAATTCTCGGCCGAAGTCCGGCTGGAGCCCGTGTTTTTTTCCTCTCCCCGTTACACAGCATATAATACTGTTGCAGCCATTAGAATAGTTCAGGTTTGATTTCAATGGCAAAGTAGTTATATTTCTTTTCATTTCTTTATTAAGTTCAAATGTTTGAAGCATTTTTTTGCTTGTTAAAAAAATAATAATAATTTAAACGCCCAGTGGCCGACAGTGAGTTGACCACATGTTTGATCCATTTAGCCTCTCAAATCAACACTTGACTTGCCTACAATACAACCCATATAAAACACTTCAAGCATATCACAATGTTAGTTTAAACATTTATTATCACCACCACCACCACAGTAAAAAGGCATTTTTGACAAGCTGAGGCAGGCTGCTCACTATGGCGCTAGCAAACGAAACGGGCTATACAATCTGAAAAAAAATAAACAAAAAAACAAAAGCAGGTTGCCTGACCTTATGCCTAGGCTATGCATTAAAAATCAAGGCTTCACCACAGAACATGGCCATTCATTGTTCAAGAGTTTCCAACAGTTAGATAAAAAAAAAAAGAAGAGTCCAATCCCAAACGAAAAATGAGACAGCCTCCTAACATAGCTACAAAAAGAAGAATAGTCTCTAACAGAGCATTGTGAGAGAAAAAACACAGCATGCCATCCAGTGGAAGGTTTCAATCCAGTTCTCATGGGCCTTTTTTCACCTGGTCACTTCAAGCGTTTTCTCTGATCGGAAAAGACCAAGTGTAAATGCCCTCCGTAACACTTTCGAGATGGATTAGTTCACTTTTAAAAGTATAATATAATGCACTTTACTGGCTACCAAACGGTTCAAGGTCCAAATGACAGTTTCAGTGCAAACTGCAAACTGTTCAAATGGCTTTAAACGACACCAGACGATGAATAAGGGTCTTATCAAGGAGAGTCACACAGAACAGAGCGACACGAGCATGTGAGCTTATAAAACTTAAACTTTGTTATTTATTTTTTAAATGACCGATCGTTTCGCTTGATAAGACCCTTATTCATCGTCTGGAATCGTTTAAAGCCCTTTGAACAGTTTGCAGTTTGCACTGAAACTGTCTTTTGGACCTTGAACCGTTTGGTACCCAGTAAAGTGCATTATATGGAGAAAAATCCTGGAATGTTTTCATCAAAAATCTTAATTTCTTTTCGACTGAAGAAAGAAAGACATGGACATCTTGGATGACATGGGGGGTGAGTAAATTATCAGCAAAAGTTTTTTTAAAAGTGAACTAATCCTTTAAATCCAATCACTCAAACCACTTCAGGTGGTGGTCTGGGACGCATTCCAGATGAAACTGGACAAGTGTAAATGAATCTGGTTGTTGAAACCACATATGTAAATTTTTACTTTAAGCGTGTTATAGGCTATATGACATGCTATAGCCAGATATGACAGTGCTACTGCAACACGCATTGCCACAGAAGAGTAGCTGAGTAGCTCTTCAGCAAGTCAACGCGAATAAAACAAAGTAAATCACAGATGCTCAAAACACAATCATCTTCATTAGAAGTAAGGAGACTAAATGATCTTACCAGTGCTTATGCCGCTCTCTCTCCTATTGCAGTCTCTAATCTTGAAATTAGCTGACGATAAATAAAATGCAACTCGTATCTGTTGCTTTCATTGACGTGAACTCTGGTAAATTTGCATAGAGCACGGGAATTGGTTGCATTGGATTTATATTCGTTTTGCGGAGACACATTTATGTGGGAAAGTGTAAATTTTAACGTTTTAACAAATCAGATAGATGCCCGATCAGAGAAAATGCATGAAGTGACCAGGTGTAAAATGCCCTATAACTCTTCCAGCTGCGCTGAAGGCACGCCTGCTGCTACTGCTGCTGGCAGGAACACCAAACATACATGGTCTCGTTTTGTTTTCAGCAGCGCAGCACATCTTATAGTTTCTTTTAATTAATTAATGTCGAAAATATAAAAAGAAAGAGAAGCCTAAAACAGATGCCCTGTGCGTGTGAGCTTTGACACGAAAATTGGGCTAAAGCCCAGCCCAAGGGGCGTAAATAAGTAGGGTCCTGTGGACTCCTAAATGTCATTGTATTGTGGGTGGTTGTCAGGTTGTCGCTAAGTGGTTGCTGAAATGTTCTAAGTACTTATTAGCTTGTTCTGAGCGGCTGTTGGATGGATGCTTATTGGACCAAGTTAAAAAGTTAGTCAAAATCCCCAAGTATGAGGAATATGACTAGCAAGCACCAATGATATGTTTCTAAAAACAAGAAGAGAGAAATCTCTTCTACTTGTCTGTAAAAAGGCAGACAAGGGCAAACCCACTGTACTCTCAGAATGTGGCCCACCGTAGATAAACATCCTCACTTGTTTGTTTTGGGACAAAGTGTCAGTAATCACCATGGGGACTGCAGTTATCACAGGCAGCACAGAACCCTGAGGAAAACCACACCACACCACAGAGAGCAGGCAAAGAGCAGCACACCACACACCCACGTCAAGAACCCAGCCCACACACAGAGAGGAAAAATCAAAAGAAGAGAAAGAGCAGGAGGAAAGGGATTGAAAAATACTGTGATGGGACACTAGGTTTGACTAGGTTGATCTAGAACATGCAAAAAATAAAATACAGTTTGAAACATGTACATGATTTCTTTTGAAATTTGTTATGGACTTATGATTTAGAAATAATCCCAATATTTAATAGGATTCCAACATAACAAAAATATCCTTTATAGTGGGAAATGTATGTTATACAATTATAGGTCTCTCTCTGTGTGTGTGTGTGAGAGAGAGAGATACTTACTTCAGGAACGACTGAAAATCGTCAAATACAGCTTCACATCCTGGCCATTTACAGACGCCGTGACCGTAGAGAGGGTGACTATGAGGTGAATGATCATCCAACGCTGATCTATAAGAAGAAAATTACATTACTGTGATATCCAGACTGCAAATATTTGACACACATACACACATACGCATCATTGGACTTTTATGAAAGAGGCTAAAGAGTAATTAATCTCCATAATACTACTAGATGTAATATTAATGGCTTATCCACTAAAATATGACAACTAATAAAGGAACCTTCCCCTTCAGCAAAAAACACGGCAGCGTGTTGTTTTATTGACACAGCACAAAATCTCATATGACCACTGACTTCTACAGGAAGATTTCCCAGCCATGTGATCTCTGTTTGTCAGCCTATCACAGCCCAGTGCTGGCCAATCAATAGCCAATTATAGGTCTCCTCTGATGCACATGGAGGAACGCTTTGATCAGGGCAGCACGGGGCTCTGAGAGACAGCATGTCCTTTAGCCCTAACCACTGAACCGTGGCCCCTGCCGTCCACCTAGAGCAACAAGTGTTTCCCACAACAGGAAGCTCCCAAATCCATCTGGATTGCTCCCGCCAAGCACAAACAGTAAACACACCCCACCTGTTATCAATTTATCCGCTTGCACAGGATCATCAACAGCTCAGTACAGCACACTTTTATATGAACTACACTGCAGGCACTATAAAGCTTAGCTGCGAAGATTTTTTTTCTCAATTTCAAAACCCTCATTATCTCCAATTATCAACATTTAATAACTATTTTAGGTTTTTTTATCAGTGCAAGAATGAAATAATAGAAAAATGGGATTTGTCAGTGAAAGACAAAACATGCATGAACGTATGCATATTTAGGCTTTAAGGCTTATTTAAAAGCAGTTGCCTTAATATTTATGCCTTATGTCATTTTTTTTATAAAAATGTATGTCAAATATATTACAATTTCTTTTTAAACAAGAAATGTGCCATGCCACATCTTGTTTAAATTCCAAGACGACATTAGTTATAGCATTATTAATAAGAGTTAAGTTATCAAATGCCTAAGGACTTGTGAATCAGGAAACACGGCTCATTTTAAACAATGGATGACCAAACAGTTTTAAACAACTCAGAGGAAGACTGACAGACTACAGGGGTGTTCTTTCAAGCCTGACCTCATTTATTCCAAACAAAAAACAATAAAGATTGAGTCAAAGCTTGTCAGTGATCTTGTCTGTCTTTTGAAGTGTGTGGTAATTTTGGTTTTTAGGCTATTATCTTGTAACAAGCAAAAAGGTGACATTTTGGATGCAAGGTGAAGTAAAAATGGCAATAAATAATAATAATAATAAAAAAACCAGCACATCAAAATCACCACTACATGTGCATTTATACACTTGATCGGCTCTTACAGCACCAGCCCAAATGCTTTCCTGTGAGGCACCACGGCTCTGTCATATCATCTTTCATTACATTATGGTTTAGGATCGTATTATCACGCACTGAGCACCTAAGTATCATCGCTGCTGACCTAACGAAGAAGAGAGGTCTGACGTCTGGAGAGCTCAGACAGGAACTGAGCACTTTGTCACAACACTATTACTCTCCCTCACGTCTTCATGTGGGGAGAAATCATCAAAGACACACTCCTCCTCTAAGTCTACTATCAAATCCCCAGACCCCGACTCAATCCTTAAGAGTATGCCCAACCACACGGCCCCCTCCCAACCCCCCAAAAATGTTTTAATTATCATTTGCAGAGTTGAAGATCAATTAAAAGGGAGGTTAAGGGGCTCGTTTAGGGGGGCAAATCTGATTATTTATCTCTTTAAAACAAATTGTCTGGGTTTTAATCCCCCTGAGCGTAGCATTCCTAAAGGATTCTGGGAGGAGAATGAAGAGAGGTGACTCAAACTGGGTCCCTTCCATTGAGGAGAACTGAAAACTGCTGAAATGGAACAAGGTGTCTCTATATTTGTTAAATGAAATAATAATTTATGTATATATATATATATTTATAAAAAAAATATTATTATTATTTTTTCATTTAACAAATATAAACACACCTTGTTCCTATATATATGAATATATATATATATATATATATATATATTAGGGGTGTGACGAGACGCTTATCTCACGAGACGAGACTAGACACGAGATTGGGTTCACGAGAACGAGACGAGACGAGATTTTTGCACAATTTTTCAGAAATCCTCAATGACAAAATTCATGGCTGGAAAAATAGTATGCAGGTGCATTTTTCAATGTTTTAACTAATAATCTTCTAATGCATGTCATTTCAGGTCTACTTTATGAGTATGAATTATCAAATGCATTGAAAGAAAACAATATTCAAGCACTGTAAAAGGTTTTTATTGACTGGCTTTTCTCCTGTATAATTTCACATTAGTCTCTTCAGACCTTACTGTACATTTAAGAGCTTTCAGAACTTCTGATTGAGGCTGTGTGTGACCTCCTAACTGAACTCCTTTTAACACACATTTAACAGAGAAATAAAAACCGTATAAATAACAAAAATAAATAACTGTTTTCTCTTAGTCTTATTAAGTGCAAACAATAAGTGCGAGTGCAACCATAATCAAAGTTAGCACACAGACTCTTTATAATTGTTGTGAAATTGCGGTTTTATTTTGCACCGGCAGTTATAGGGTTAATGCGGTGAGTTCGGAAAAGGCCGAGAGAAACGAGGCTGTTTGTCTCTACAGTTGTTCTTGCGTTCCGATTATAAGTTCAGAAACGGAGCCTCCCTTGTCTGTTGTCCTTTGTACGTTACAGTGCTCTCTCAATATTCGCAGTGCCAACAGAGACCAGAGCCGCAAATAAACAGTCCAGAGATGGGTATTGGGAGACGGATTATTTTATGTATGCAGCCTAATTTGTGCGAAATGCACATCAGGGAGCTTGTGTTTTGCTTTCACTTACAAATTCGTGACCGCGCGTATAGGGAGCAGCGGTGCTGAGCGCGCATTCTAAATGATAAGACATTTACCAGACGTTTAGTCTGTTGCGCAACGAATCCTCCGCCATCATCACGCGATCAGTGAACTGTGATTCGTGCTGCACTGATTGCAACGGCAACTCGTGCTGGATGAGCAGAGCAGACTTTTGCATTAGTTTATAATGGTTTTTATTTTTTTATAAAAACAACAAAACGATAGTTTAGGCGAATGTGAGTGTAGCGGTGGAATATTAATGGGGATATCGCGAGACAGCTTTTTCACTCGACGAGAAATCTCGTCATATTTAGTCTCGCGAGATCTCGTGGCACGAGATCTCGTCACACCCCTAATATATATATATATATATATATATATATATATATATATATATATATATATATATATATATATATATACACATATATATATATATATATATATATATATATATATTCATTCATATCTTTTAGACCCTGACTAGAAAAAAAAGAGGTATGGGCCTGTTGGTTTTTGGTCAGATAGCCGACACCTCATTTTCAATCACCTTAGAAAGGTTCACACAGGTCCATGAGTGTTTTTTGTCCCTTATCTGAGCGCCGATGGGTCGGGTTGACTGACACGTTGAAGGCTTTTATCATATTTGGGTGTGTATGTGGTGGATGTCTCTGTGCAGGCACCAGTGGGAGCCGATGGAGGCTGCTAAAAGCAGGGTAGCATCGCGTCTAAACATGTACAGAGTGATTGAGTTTCTCTCTCCTTCCTTTAAGACGGAAGTGAAAAGACAGTGAATGATGCCGCTGGATGCACTTAAGGTTTTAGTTGCAGGCGTCGCAGCGACTGGCCAGATTTTATATGACACATGAAACGGCCTGTGCGGTGTTTAAGACCCCGGCGGTAAACCAATCTGAGAGAGCTAGAGCAGAGCAAGTCCATCAGCGTGCAGCCGCCCGCCTGTTTCACGACAAGAGGGACTTGGGAAAACCACATCAATTAAAAGTTCATTAACGTTCGTGTGCGAGGAGTCCACATTTCATTCCATCGAGCAATGGAAATCCGTAGATGGATTAGAAATCAGTGTTATGTTTTCTAGGAGGCCCATTGGGTGTGATGAAGCATGTTTACAAATAAAACTACAAAGATATTAATGCTACATTGAAAATTATCAAAGTGCTAAGTTATTAGCAGTGTCGCTCTAATTTGCCTTTGCATTTGAATAGTAATGATTTGGAAGCATTTCTAGCACTAATGCTGCAGCTAACGGAGGAAGAGAGAGGGCTGATCACCTGCTCCTTTTTTCTGACAGATCTAAGATACTCAGTCTACAAAACGCCTTCTTCACAGCATGGGTGCTAAACTGCTGTTGACGTCTTCTTTAATCTCTGACACCGAACGAGAGGCAGGGAGAGAGAAGCAGTGAGCTTTCCAACATGTCTTTTTGAGTGTTTCAAGCCTGCTATGGCACGAAAGGGGTTGTGGTGCTAGAGGACTGGATGTTTGTGCACTTTGAGGAAAAGGGCTGATAGACTGGAGAAAAAGAGCAACTAAAATAGAACAAGCGAGTATACGAGTGAGTTTCTCGGTTTCAAAACATAGTGAGCTGCCTACCTAGACCTAATTATTCAATTAGGGGGAATTTTCTGTCCACTGGTATGATTTCAAAGCAAAAACAAAACAATAAACAATCATTCTAGTTTTAAAGAGTAGATCCTTAAACCTTTTCTTCAATTACATTTTCCACTCAATAAAAAAAGTTAGAATGTTAGCCAAAACTTTTAAAGATGTTTTAAATAAGTAAAAATAAAAAAAAATTCTAAAGTGCTCCTTAATGAAATATTACTACATATGCACACAATTAATGCAGCATTATATGTATCATTCATCGAGAAGGCAATCCCAGAATGCACTGCAACAACCTCAGTAAAAAATCCATCCAAAGTGCAAGAGAGAAACATTCATTATAAATGCTTATATTTCAGGGTAGGCGATTTATTCCAGAAACATTTTTGCTATACTGGTTAGGGTTAGAGTCTCATCACATCCTGATAGAAATCACTAAGTTAAGTGGTCGAAATATGTATATATCTCATCTGAGGAAGGCGTAGGACCATAAAATGTTCGTCCAATCACTGCATTCGGTCATTATTGTGTGAGTTGAAGTTCTACGCTTAAAGCATTGTGTCATTAGCGTAGCAACATGTTAACGTTGTAAAGCTGTTTTGAAACAGTAAGGCTGCTTTGAAACAATCTATATTGTAAAAAGCGCTATATAAATGAAGGTGACTTGACATCAAAACAAAGCAATAGAGATTCAAGCCTCTTATTTGTGTGGCACAAATGAATGAACGAGAGAAAGAAAGAAAAAAAAAGAAAGAAAGAAAGAGAAAGAGCAGCTTGTATGAGCTCTACAGCATCAGTTACATCATGGGCAGTTAAATAACCCTGACACGTTGAGCAAACCTGTCATGAAATCCATTCTGCTCTACACTAGTACATAAGCAGACAGACATGTACATGAACTCTCCCTTTACCTTCGGCTAGAGCTTGTTTTGCAGCACTAAATGTGTTTTCATTCGCATTGCTTTCATAATGACACGTTGGTTTTGATCAGCCAAATCTGAGTCAGATGTGAAAAGAGAGAGAGACAAATAAATGAGCTCACAGTGCCTGGAGGCTTCTCACCAGCGGTTCAAAGATCAGGCCTGAGCACATGAAAACAAGCAAATGTGTTATAAACCAAATTAATCTCTTCCTTAAAGACACAGTGATGCAACGCTTCCTCCAAATAAATCTTTAAGTGTCAGGGCTTTAAAGAGGCTTTACAGTATTTAGCGAAGTTGTGCTGTGTTGTGCAACTGTTACTGTATTAAATTAACTGCTCTTTATTTGCCACACAAAATGAATTGATTAGGCAAAAGATGAACTGTTCTGATGTTAAACCGATATAAAATATTTACAATATAACTATTTAATATAATTTACGATATTTAAGATATAGGAAGCAGAATAAATATATATTTTTTAAGTTCTACATAAATAAATCAAATAAATCAATCAGAAAAAGTAAAATATCCCTTGAACTGCAATACAGATAAACCATGCCTGTTGTAATTCTGTAATAATTAAAAAAGATAGGAAGCAATTTTAATTTCATTACAGTAATCTAACCTTTCTAACAGCACCATTCTCTTAGGTGTATGACTGGAATTCCCTGATGAACAGGATTGAGTAGACAGGCCCGGTCCTTAAGGAAAATTCCAAGGTACTTAGAGGCAATAAATTACAATTCATTTGCAGGAAATGCCCTATTGGTACCTGTCCATCAACTCGGCTTGCCTTGCAGCCATTTCCACCTTCAGAACTCAATCCAACTGAATATATAGAGAGTTTAACAAGAGTTAAATCTCAAACTGTGCTCCGATTTGCCAAGAAACCAAAGTCTGCGACCAAAAGTGACCTCAAACTCTTCTCCTCCAAATCTCCCCAAATCTCAGGTTAATGGCTGTGCGATCTTACCCCTCTCTCTTAAGCGAGTGGCTGATGTACTGGCCGTTGGTGGATCCATGCTGGTTGTGGTTTTTGAGGGGAACGGGGGAGGGGGACGACAGGTCCAGACCCCGGTGACCGTTATTGGTCGCGCTGTTCTCCTCCTTCACATAGCTGTTTGTCACCTCCTTCCACAGCTGCTGCAGTTCGACTGGAATCATGCCTGCCACAAACAAATTGGATAATTAAATCAATTAACAGCTAATCTGGTTCTACTCATGGCATAATTAAATAAAAAACAAGGGCTCAGTAAACAAAAGGGGGCATTAATTATTCCACTACAGGCTGATACGCAGCGCCTGCCCTCTCGCTCTGCCATTCTCTCTCTCTCTCTCTCTCTCTCTCTCGCGCTTTTCCCCGTACGTGCTTTGCGAAGCGTGTTTGTGTACAAAAATTCCCTGGCATTCACGCACATTTCATGCTTGAAGTAAATAATTAACATACAGACAAGGCATGAAATCTGAATAATCACCATTATTTCTCTGACAAGGAAGTCAGCCAGTTCTTTCTCACACACACAAAACAAGACCACAAAAACATCCCTCTCCATGAGAGAGAGAGAGGGAGAAACTGAAAGAACGAACAAGCCCCCAGGGTAATACTCTCGAAAGCATGTTAATGTGCAAAATGCTTAAAGTTTTGCACCGCCTCCAATTGACACAGACGACTTAAACCTCATTTAACAAGTCAAGCACACTGCGGCTCATACGTCCTTTGAAAAAAGAGAGAAGAAGATAAGTGGGAAGAAAAATGGCTTGAAGACAAGATGTTGCCTCAATTCTGTGACAGACACACACAAACACTTACATGCACACCCACATACGCAAAGTGTTTCATGTAGCTGACTGTACAACTCAACGCTAGCAGGCTGAGAATTAGAAAGGACTAACAATGAAATTAGCCCATTGGAGTGGCCAAGGACCTCCCTTATATTTAGAAGTGTTAAATATCAAAGCTATGAATTATATTTGTTAAATTTCCATATTAAATAATATCATTTTTCACATCACACACACAACCACTTTGGTAAGATTTTTTTTAATGTTTTTGAAAGAAGTCTCTTATGCTTGACAGGTCTGCATTTATTTGATTAAAAAAATACAGTAAAAATGGTAATATTGTGAAAAAGGATTACAATTTATAATAGATTTTCTAATTTAAATGCATTTTAAAATGTAATTTATTTTAGCGATGGCAAATTTTCAGCAGCCATTACTCCAGTCTTCAGTGTCACTTCAATGTTGAAAACAGTTGTGCTGCTTAATACATTTGTTTAAACCGATAATCTTTTTTTCAGTCTTCTTTGAGAACTTGAAAGTCTAAAACAACAGCATTTATTTATTTTGCAACATTATAAAAGTCTGTCCAGTCACATTTGATCAATTTAATGTGTCCTTGCTGAATAAAAATGATACTTTCTTTAAAAAAAAATCTATCTGACCTTAAACTTTTGAACAATAGTGTATAATATAAATATATACACAGAAACACACAAACACATTTGGACACATCTGACTACCATTATGTTGCTTCAGGAATAGGTCATGTGAATGGAACGCTGAATGAATCGCACCCACTGTGTGACTTTATACATTTCTTGGTATGTTTTGTGAAATTAAACAGGAAGGGGCTGTTTTGGGCGGTGGGGGATCAATCGCTTAACATCACAATTAAATCGATTTTCGAAATGAGTGAAAGCAAATGGAGAGCAATTTTTGTCTTGGTTATCTTCATTCATCTCCTTGTTTTCCCTCCTCCTCCCCCGTCTCTCTCTCATTCTCTCCCTCATAATAATTCTCTTTACAGATACCAGAAGTGGCCTCTTTCAAGCGCTCCAGCGCAATGCATTTGTGCAAGAATCGCTTAGTCTTAATTTATTCCTGTTGTGGCAAAATAACGGCGAGGTGAAGATCTCAATACGATCAGCAGAAAATATTTTTAATTTGATAAGCTACTAAAGATTTTAATTATGTCAGTAATGGAGAACAGTAAGCTAATGAGGCGGCTAAGACTCCAGAGAGAGAGAGACAAAGAGACCGAGCGAGAGAGACTAAAAACTGTGAAATGAGTCTGGTAGGACTGCCATAAATTCGCACAAGATCGTTTGCATATAAAAGAGCCAGCGGAAATTATTGCAGGACGAATCAATAACCTTCCCACGTGCCACGTGGCATCTCTAGCTTCCTTGGTTTTTTTTGTGCCATCTTGCAGTGTTTTAACGTCCTCATGAAACTCTGACGGCGGTGTCCGAAGGTATCGACTTGCTTGTTTTTTTGTCTTTGCTGTTGTCATTGTGAGGGAGGGAAAACTTGTCCGTGTGGATTCAAGAAGGTCATGGCGCTGGTGATTGTTTTTGGGTTTGGACATAGAGGAGAACAATCATTTTCCCCCCACTTGGAGCGCAGTGACAGTGTGCGATGTATTTTTAGCCGACGTGCTTGACAGGGCGGCCCACTCTCCCTCAATTACCCACAAGTCCAGGTGACCCCGACACCACTGTTTACTGAAACGAATCCAAGCCGGAGGGGGGAGGGGAGCTGATGAGAGGGGTAACAGAGTGGGACGAAGCTGTCTTGTTGTGTCTGACACCCCATATAAGCCTTTTTCCTCTGCAGGTCTAAATCTCACTCTAAGCCTTGGTTTATATCCCGTATCTATCTTTTTCATAGATGCATCTCCCAAAACTGTCTGCATATATCTTCACATGACCTCTCAACCAATCTGGCAAATGTTACAGCATTATCCTCATTTAGTAGCCGATGATGGATGTAACATTTCGCAGATAACACATAGCATTAAAACAGTTCTTTGTCCTTAAATCCGTCTTGCAAACTCCAGATCGCTTTAACGGCCCTAAAGTCATTTTTCAACACCGCACCTCCTCTCATTAAAAGCCAAAGATACACGCTTGCGCTTTTAAAAAATGGATGTCATTGAGACGTTTGACTGATCGCCGGCGAAGCAACTCAATTTTTACCGCAGCAGGTAGCGGCGACACCCAGACAGGGGCCCCGAACTCTCGCTTCAACCTTTTCCTGTCCTTGTACCCCGGTACCCTGGTGACCGTGTTCGAGCAAGCGGAAAGTTGATTTAAGGTTCACAACCACATTAGTTGTGGCCCATCAGCAGCCCGGTAAAAAATGCTGTCGCGCACTGGGGCCGCGGAAATCAGTGACCACGTCTTCCTCGATGAGACTGCCACGGCACCACTGGGGGCAAACTGACACTACTATTAGTTTATTGTTCTGTGAGGCAGAGATCTTCTCTCCCTCCTGTTAAAGGGGTTATGATCACTGGGGCCTTCGATATGCAGCCCTTAGGCCTAAAATATGTTCCTCCCTAATGCTACAGAAGCTATTAAACAGTGCCACACTGCCAGCCGATCAATCACTGCCAGCGAGGCCGGACGAGGGGCCGGAGTCCCCTGATGGGTCTGAGCGCACATCGCGCATCATGCCTGGTCACATTCGCTGCTTTCATATTAGTGGCAAATTTGTCTTGTCGGTGTCCTGTGGCCCTTGACTGGACAACTTGACAACTAATGTGCGGCTGGGGATGAGAATGAACTCCAGAACTTGAGGGATTCACAACGTGTGTGTAGGAGAGCACAGATTTAGACGAGAGCGCGCTAATAGTGGAAAATGAGGTACAAACACAAATCCGGCAGCCACAATGTAGACAACCAGGACTCTTCTGCCTAATCCCATTCTGTTCACACAAAGTTGAGTTATTTACAAGAGTGAAAGCAAATGTATTCAAGAAAAGGTTTAACCTCATGTACCACGAAGGAATGTTTTTCCCAATTTCAGCTAAATTGGATGGATTTAGTCAGCAATTTAGTCAAAATGTCAACAATGGATCCCTATCGATTTATTCATTCAAAAAAAGATAAATTAAAACAAATTTGCACCTAAGTGTTTAAAAAATAATAAAACAAAACTCAAGTCACTAAAAATAACTTTTTTAGGCTATATTATATTTATATCTCAAAAGGACACAAACATTTTTTTTGTTTCAACTATCAGAATCCGGAGTGACTCCTGTATTGCGTACATACTCAGAATGACAATTTAGGGGATTCACACCATATTCTAATATGGTTGTTTCTAAAACTTTGCATTGTGTACGTGGGACAAGTAAAGAAGCCAGAACTGGTTTTACTCCACCAAATACACCTCATCTCTCTGCCTTTCTTGAATATTCATCTGCTCTGTTTGTTTTCTCACTCTGTAACTCACACTGCTAAGTCCTCTGTTATTTTCTCTCTCTGGACCCCGTTTATGATATTCATCTCCTCAAACACATTGTTCTAATTCATAGCAGACGTTCAGCTGACCCTCTCCAAAACTTCAAAGTCAAAAAGTCAAATAAGTGATATCTCAGATGTCTGCGCCGTGCCAGAGAGCTAGATAGCACGCTTGTAAACAGGGTAGAAATCGGGTAGAAAATGACTGGATGTGCCTGTACATTAAACGTGAAGCCGTGATGTAAAAAGATTTTATTCACGCATCAAAGTCAGAGTCTAATAAATAAGCCAATTTCAGCCCATGTTGCTGGCCGAGTAATCTTACTTAGTAGCTTGCCCAAGCACATAATCACCACGCACACATAAGGAGGTAACATAACTTATCACACCAATGCTAACTACTTAGCTAACTACTGAATATTGTAGATTATATCTTGCGAATGGAAAACTGGGCTGCTGGAGCATGAAAGAATGCAGTGGAGTGTGAAAGAAAAAAAGGTCATCAATAACTTTTAACAGTGAAGCAGAAAATGTGCAGGACACACAAACACATACTGACAAGTTTTTTAATCAGGGTATGAAATTACCCCCTATGCCAGTCAAATTTGGGCCCAATTTTACCAGTCACTGTGCCAGGCGACCTGTAGGACATCTCCGACTGAGGTTTGACAAGAAACGCTGCTAGTTAGAGGCAAAGACGCACACACAGAAGAAACACATCTGATTATATTGATGAATAGAAAAATCAAAAGCCTAAACTTTAAATAAATGTAAAATTGGCTAATGAAATTGGGCAAAAGTTTATTTTGTACTCTGGCTTTAACCACCACTTTTGGTTTTAACACTTAACCACCAATTCAAGGAATCTGCCACGGGCTATTACAGTTATTCAATCAGATTAATACTAGACAGACAGGTTCTAGGAAATTAGGAAATAATCTATCCTTTACTGCCAAGTAAACGTATTATATATCTATACAATATCTTGTGTTCTGCAGAAGAACAACAGCATGTATTCTCTGTGTTTTTCATTACTGCCCTCTGATTGGCCATTACATGCTTGCCATGTTCCCTGGATAACGACTGCTCGAGATGTCATTCAATCACTTGTTAAATAAATAAAATTGTTCTTCAATGAGATGGCCTTCTATTTGACACTAGCCTATGGCTTCGCATTGTAAAGCATCGCCTCGCCCAGCCCCAGGGCAACGTGGGTATGTGGAGTGGCTCAGCTTTCCGACTATGCCCTGATCAAACAATAACAAGACTAAACAAACACAGTTTGTATTTGCGTGTTACCCAAGCACCCCCCTCCCCAGCCTTTATAGAGCCTTATCTTGTTATGGGCTTGTTTGTCTTAGCCGGAGAGAGTACAGTCAGTTTTTGAAAGAAAGAAAACAAAACTCAAAACAAAACTGATATGAATGCAGTCTTTATTCTGTTGCTGCTCCTTAAGTAAACATGACAAGGAAAATAAAGCAATACACCTCCTGGAAAAACACCTTTTGACTCACTGACTGCTTGTGAAGTGATTAATCTTTGACTAGTTTAGTGGGTTGAAGTTAGAAAACAATGGTGCTAGTATGTTTAGGGGCTGACGAGGAGCCAACATAAGACAATAGAGATAAAACAGAGATATTTGTAATGTACATATATCAGAGATATATGTATTCAAATAGTATATGTATTTTAAAATAGTTTTAAATGATCTGGAGAATGAAACATCGGGCTGTAGATGTTTCAGCTAGTTATGTATTTGATATTGAAATTTTATTAGAGTTCCTTGTGTGTGTATATATATGTGTATGTATTGTTGGATGTTATTTGTTACACTCAAACGTGCTGTGTCTGTCAGTTTTGGCCAGGACGCTCTTGTAAAAGAGATTCTTAATCTCAATGTGCTTCTTTCCTGGTAAAATAAAGGTTATAATTCAATGGAAGAGTGAAAATCTAGGACACATTTTCTCATTCTAAAAGAGAAAAGCAACAGAAACTATAATGCAAAGAGAACATAAAGGCCTATTCTCTCAAAGAGCAATATGTGGTCTAATTTAGTACATTTGTGTAAAATGTTCAAAAGTGCAAAACCTTTCCCTGCACAAAACTATTTATTCCTAGACCTCTTCATGTGTGTGTACATGTTTTTCCTCACACATTTACATGCATAACAAAGTGATATTTTCTCGTAGTTAATCTTTTGAAAATGTTTTGTTGTCCCAATCTTGGCCATTGTTCCCCCCACCCCGCATTTAGCAAAAAATAATAGATATTAAAAATCAATACATACATATTGCATCCCTATGGTTCCCAAAAATGAAACCCTACGGATCCTCATTTTTTTTTACACAGATGTTACAATCTATAAATAAATTTTAAAAAAGAGAAAAAGGGAAACAGAAAAGCCGTTGCAGGCAAGCGGTGTGAAAAGTAGTGATATTTTCTAGGAGGCTGATGAAAAACCACCTTGTAATTTTGTGAATAATTTCCTTGCACTTTTCATAAGATATTTGTCAGCAATTCCCATTGCTCTCAGTGTGAATATCCCCTTGCGGGGTGATAGATGTGCTTGTTCTTACCCTGAGTGAGGGAGTGCAGGGGCAGAGTCTGGTTGGGCTGAATGGACAGCAGCCCTTGTCTCTGCAGGCTCAGGAGATGCTGCTGCTGGAGCTGCTGAACCTGGAGCAGCTGCTGTTGGAACGCCAACTGCTGCGCAGACACCTGCCGAGGGAGAGACGGAGAAAGGATGAGGGGTCTACATATCATCCTCGCTCTCACAAACAATTATGTCAACACGTGCACAAACATACTTATTCACTCAGGGCTGATAAACACACACATACACACACAAACAGGCACGGACAGGTACATTCCCATATTCCCGCACCCTCTTAATTAACGAGGAGTCGGGGAGGCTCGTGACAAATAATGAAATGTTGTTAATCATTCCTAATAAGAGCCACAGGATTTTAATTATGGCCATTCATAACTCCGCAAACAACCTGTGACTGAAAAGAGCTCCTTAATATTCAGCAGCGTGTTAGTGCAGAGCCAGGGGAGCCAACCGGTGTCTCCTTTGGATAAATCAGGGGTGTGAAGTAACAGGGCAACCGTCCAATAGGAGGAGAGCTAAGCAGTGTATGTGCCAATTTTATACATTTATATTTTGTGATTCATTTTATCAAGCCATTGTATCAAGTGTGATGCAATTATAAAAAATATAATAAAATGAATTGTGGACATTAAAACATTTATGCATAAAATAAACAGGGTCATTTTTAATTTCATGATGTTTTTAATTGTTAAAAAAGGTAACATTTTACAAAAGGTTCAGTTCATTGATATTTTCAATTGGCTATGTTTACATGCACAACTTTTGTTGAATTGATGAATCCGAACGTAGTGTTTACATGAATGCTAAATAAAGTGATCGGGTTGATGAGCGCGTTTAAATGTCACAAGCTTCAAATCGGAATTGAGTTTTTGACATGCGCACACTGCATGAATATACAGAGTTTCCCACTGTTTGCACATACTATTCTCCAACATTGCTATTTTCTTTGTTTTAAACAGCAGACTTGATATTTATCTATTATTGGTCCTAATTAGGAGACAGCGAGCGCATTAACCGTTAGGAAAGAGTCTGGTGGGACGATGTCCTGCTCCACTTCACAGATGATGAGTGGTAGCCAGGAGACACTACATTCAACAACTACAAGAGCTCGTTCCATGGGTCATACGTCATTATGCCATTTCTACATTGCACGTGCACAGTACTTTCTAGTTTCTCTTTTCAATCCGATCAAGTGTTTACACGTCCTATCGATCGGATTAGAAAAGGAATTAACCACTCCTTCCAATCCAATCAAAATTTAATTCTGATCATTAAGGTGTTTACGTGAAGGCTTTTCAGTCCGATTAATCCGCCAATCCGATTACTAACAGATTATTCGGTTGCATGTAAACATAGTCATTGATTAATCTCAATATTATTTCATTTCCATTAGTTTTTTGTATTCATTAATGCATTGTACATTATAAAAGTTAGTGTATTAATGCATTTTAACACATTTATCTACATGTGATGTTTAGGCCAAACAATTTATTGAATTGACTGATTTTTTAATCATGAAATGCATTGCAATTTAAATCATTTTGTGAGGACGTTTGTGTTCAGTGTCTTACAGTAATATACACCCTCACATCTGGATAGATGGAACTGAGTATAGAGAGAAAGGAAGGTGCCAAAAGACTGGGGGAATTTTGAGAGGAAGAAGGGAGTGAGTTAGTAAAAGTGGAAGGGAAACAGGGAAAAGAGGGTGTTGAAAGACAGAAGGAGAGGGAGGAATTGGGCGAACAAACTGCTGCGTCGTCAGGACGATAAATGGGAGGAAATTATCTAACATCCCCAATCACCCCTCAGTCAAAACTAATGGGCGATGTTATGGAGATACAGGGCTATTGAACCCTTTCAATGCTAACACTGTTTTTTATGACCTCCTCTATGCATTATGACAGTATCGTGACAACGACTAAACATAAGCCATAATCACGGGACGTTCCTCTTAAGGTTTCTGATGGACCCGCGGTGAAAAACCGGACACTGAGGGGGGTCATGTGTTTGTGTGTGCACGTGTTTGTTGGTACATTAAAGCGCAAACGTGGCTTTGCCAAGCTGTGTGCCGCACCCTCTTCCCAAACACAGGATGCTTCGCTTTGTGTTTACTTCTCCAAACAGAAGGCGCACAAAAAAGGTCCCGCAGCACAGGCGCGGACAGGTCAACCTTTAGACCCAGAACAGATCTGAAACAGCCTGATAAAGTGCTTGCTCTTTTTTCCACTCTCATTCATGGTCCACCCATCCTCACCCGCCTGTCAAAGGTCTGTTTCTTTTTCTCTCTCTCTCTCCACTCTAACCCTGATCACGAGGCTTTAAACATACAAATGCTTTAATGTCAATGGTCAGAGCTTTGGCGCAGCGGTAGCACAACATATGCACGCTGTGGTGCTCCCACAGAGAAGCAGGGTCAGGTCTGGGTCATGTCCTGATCACATTATCCTTGACTTTTATTTCATTATCCTGACAATTAAAAGCAAAAAGTCCATAAATTACTGTTTTTAAATGGATAAATCAGTCCATATATAATATATAATCTACCTTTAAATCACATTAAAAGGTTCAAAGGTGGAGAAACATATTTTTTACGAAAGACTATGAAAATGAACATGTTTTTTAATACTGTGAATTGTGCACATAAAAACCTTTATTAATAAAATAAATTGTCTTTTAAGTCATTATGAAATCAAAATGGACAATTCTTTTTTTTTTTATGGAATATGACAACCAATTTATCCAAGCACATCATTTAAATATTTTAAATTTAATATTTTTAAATTTAATCAAAATAACTTCCTCTGCCCCCCTTGCAAAGGCATTTCTTCTCTTCTCTTATGACATGTACACCCGTGAGAGGGCAGTCCATGAAATCCCAATGGAAAAATCAAGTCCCGCCCTACATTTTATTTCGTTTGAGAAGCAATTTCACTCGGATAAGTCACAATAGAGAAGAAAAGGCAAATTGCAACTTCCGTTTCATGCCGACTATAATTGAAAAAAAAAATTTGGTAATACTTTACAAATTAATTTATTTGTGCATAAGGTATATCGTTTTACAGCATTTATTAGTGTAATATTCAGATTAACAAATTATGTAAAAGTATGCTAACAAATTGAACCGTATCATAAATTGTGTTTATTTTCATCTGTACGTCACCCTGAAGGATGGCCTTGGCCGCTTGAGATCTTCCTCATCGCACGAGCGCTAACCTAACGCCAGCCTGGCATAGCGAATGGGAGGTTAACACGGAGTGGCACGCGAGAGAGGCGAGAATAGAGCAGATGACAACATGATCCAGACTGACGCTGGCAGGCCCTTTTATTGCCTCGCCTCCAATCCAAAGTTAAAAATCTTTGAAAACCTAAGAAATTTTGTTGTCTTTTAAATAAAAGAGGCACAAAGCAGCAGCGGGGGGTTATTGTCTGACCCCCGTGGGGGGAGTCGCTGCAACAATTCGTATTCCAGCTTTTGATGGCTGCGCGAGAGAAAGCCGAAGGAGGGGGGGAGGGAGAGGGAGCGCGTGAGAGAGAAAAACACGCACAGACGGAGGAGAGCCTCTCGAGGGCTGCATCAAATTCCTGTGATCATACATAATACTCTTTAAAATGGTGTTTTTCCTTCCTGTTCGTCACGTTCCATTCAGCTGATCAATTGTTTCTCCTTTTGACGGTGCCACCCTCCTTTTTTCAACCCCCCTCCCATTCTAGAGTCCCCTTCCCCTCATCTGTCCTTCTGACATGAGAGAGAGGGAAAGAGAGATAGAGAGAGAGAAAGAGTGACAGCTTCTGTCAGAGGCAAGAGAAACAGTCCTGTCGCATTGATTTATGGAGGCAACGCACCACAACTTGTCCAAACTAAAGCCCCCAGTTCATTAATTAGCGAGCTGGGGGACTTTGAAGTAAGCATGTGAAAGTGTGTGTACGGCTGTGTGTGTGTGTGTGTGTGTTTTACAACATTCGCCTTCATTTATACGCTCTCTCCGGTTACAGAACGAAGCTCTCAGTGGGGAAGTTAAGAAGTGAAACTCTGATTGTCTTTGAACTGCTTCTGACCGCACAATAATCGCTTCTTTTGTCCAGAGCATTGCCTTATCCTGCTGTCATTAGAGCAGCCAGAAACACAGCTGGTGATACGGCCTTAAAATGAAGGAAGAGAGAGAGAAAGAGGTAGAACCCTTCAGATATACTACAACTGTGCTGTGCCGTATTTCTGTCAACGGAGAAACCTCACGTGCTCTTCAATCGGTTCATATAGTACATTTATATAAATATACACAGACAACTTATAAAAAGGATCTATGCAGAATCGCAATGACCATTGAAATTCTCCAAAAAGTTTTGTTTATTAAATATTTTGGCAAATAAGTACTTTCAGATTGATTTAAGGAAAGGAAGATTAGGAAGAGCGGTGTCGCCATCTTGGAAGAGAGCTAACCGCCTCCGCAGCGTTATCTTTTACGGTGACAAAATTGCCAAATAAGCATGGAAAACTACAGAGAACAAATACTGGGCCAGCTTTAACAACGTGTATTTTTTTTGTTTTTTGTCCTCGGACACTGAACGTGGAATATGAAGCATCACAATAACAGCCAATCAAAAAACACTACCACTCAAAAAAAATTTAGGCCAATTAAAAAAAAAAGAAGGAGGAAATAAATTAATAAATGTTTTTCGCCAAGAGCGATATTTAAGACTTCATCAAATAAATGCTGTTCTTTTGAACTGTTCTATTAAAAAAAATTAAGCAGCACAACACTAATAAGAAATGAGCACCAAATCAGCAAATCAGGATGGAGGACCATGTGACACTGAAGGATCATGTGACACTAAAGACTGGAGTAATGGCTGCTGAAAATTCAGCTTAGCCATCACAGGGATACATTACTTCAAAATATATTAAAATAGAAAACAGTTATTTTAAATTTTAATCACAGTATTACTGTTTTTATTTATTTATTTTTTCAAATCTAGTGTATATTTTAGATATAGAGCATTATTTTGGACCAATGAGATTATAACGCAGGGGCGACGTCACACAAATAGATCAATGTTTTATCTTGGGACTGGTTAGAACAAGAACTCAAATTAATGAATTATTAAAGAAGATTTTAGTGCTTATTGCATTATAGTGTTGCGGTTGGTTAGGACGCGGAGCAGAAATACAAGAGAAGGACAGGGTTCTTCCCATTGTCAACTCAACTCAAAAATAAGATGACACCAAGGCACTGGAATGATTTTGTACTTGTGTTGGTGGGAAACAGCTGCTTGATGCACTGGGGGCAGGTAATGAACACCAGGGCTGAGTGAGTGTGTGTAAAGTAATGCAGTCAGCATACCTCTTTACTCTGCTGTTTGCTGCCATGCTGCTGCTGGATGAGCTGAAGGTGGAGTTGTTCTTGCTGTTTCTTGTAGAACTCCTGGAGTTGCTGCTGCAAAATCACAGAGTCATAAATTAAAGATGCCTCTTCTGTATTTCTGCTGTGTTTTATTTATTTTCTCCTGAAGACCAAGTATTATGTTACAAAAGAGATTATTTCCTCTACTATGATCCTAAGAATTAAAAGAGTAATGTACTGTAAAATACCTCAAATCTTCAACATTAACATATGTGTGGCATAATACTATTTTTTGGTCATTTCTAAATCACATTGAATAACAATGAAAGGGAATAAGGAAGAAGTTTTGCGCTGTGAACATTTGCGAGATTGTCTACACATTCCTCTTGGTTCAAACCCACATAAAAAATCCTGTTCTTCATGATATTTAACCTTTACATTTCACAACTTTCAAAACTCAAATTTACCGAGAACCAGGAGGAACTAACCTACAGTGTGTGTGGAATTCTTCGAGTCACATGTCACAGATTTACCAAACTGTGTTTATTGCTTCACTATTACATGTATGACTACTCCTCTGGGTTTGTCACATAGACTGAGCAACAGTTAAGCCAGTTGAAAAAGAGGAATTACTGTATGTTTGATACATTAAAAGAGAAAGGAACTAATTGTAGGGCAATTAGGAATTTATTAGTTGTTAATTGCTGTTGCCATTTTATAATATATTATATACTATTATAATAGATTATGACTATAATACATAATATCTTAATATATTATATTCCAAATTGTTTATTCAGATTATTTATTGAACTCCGCTTCACATCGTGATGCAAGGATCCTCATGGCTTATTATTTAATTAGAATTCTTGTAATGTCATAGTGTTCGTTTAAACCCGAGTAATATTTGAGACATTCAAACGGAAGGAATATATCCGGTATAACAGAACGAGGGCAAGTACCTGCTGTAACATCAGTGCTTGTTGTTGTTGCAGTAACAGCTGGAGCTGCTGGGGGCTCAGAACTTGGTGTTGGAGGATTTGCTGCATCTGCTGAGGAGTTATGACCTGTGGTGTCATCATAGCAACAGAAACTGGGACCTACACAAACACAGAAAGAGGACGGACATAAGAATACAATGGCAATTGGATAATCACATAAAACGTACTCACAATACATACACTAAAGATAACGTGTCAAATGTCTTATCAGTAGCTTGTCACCAGATGAATGTGCTAGGAAATCAAGATCTGTTTCTCAAAAAAACCCACCTGAGGAGCTTTCAGAACCAGTGATATGAGAAGCCAAAGCTGCTGACTGATGGGAGACTGACAGATACAAAGAGAAAACCCTAACACACACACACACACACACAGCGTCCCCCATCACCAAACGTCCCACTCCAGAGACAAGGCCACTGGCCATTATTCTGGAGTGCTGTCCATGTTTTGCTTGTGACTGTTTGAATACGTTTTGTATTTTCATTTTTTTTCATGATTGTTTTCCCCCCTCTTCATCAGCGTGAAGCTTCTTGTCCCTGCGATACTTCACTAAAATGGGTCACAACTCTCACGGTGTACCGTTTTGTTGCGTACGTAAACTTAAAATCGCTGAATATCAATTAACACGAATGGAATTGTGTCAATGCAGGATGTGTTGTCGACTGTGTTCTTTGTTAGTTCGGAAGTACAGAAAAAAAAAATGTCCCTCTCTAAAAAAATATATCAAAACAACACATTTAAGGGCACACAAACAAGCCTAAGTGGAATAAAAAGGGTACACATATTATGGGCGTAAAAGAAAATGGCGTGTGATGACATTGAGAGGGTCTTTAATTAGAGAAGAGGCTGTGTGAATACAGTACACGCGTGTCTCTCAGTGTCAGCCTTTCTCTGATACACCGTGCCATTAAAATCTCCTTTGTGACATTGGGTGACAAACCAAGTCTGTGCTGAACTTGATAGCGGCGGGCATTTGCAACTGTTAACACATATCCCCAGCGTGTTTTAGCAAGCGTGTGCGAGATCGCAGAAGCATGTCTCACATCTGCTCCTGATTGGCCAGACATTAGGGCGACAGTCTTCCTTCACCAAGGTTACCCCAATTGCATCTGTGATTCAGAACCGCTGACACGCGTTTGAATTTGTCACGTCTTGATGAATGTAAATGAGTGTGTAAGGGGAGGGGCTAGCTGTCACATTGCCTCCGCCTATTTCAAACTAATCTAAATATAACAACAAAAAACAAAACACCTTGAAGGAACTTCTTAAACACATGCAATGTCACACAGACGGGGTTGAACTTGTTAAACTCATCACCAAAATGGATATGTGGTGCTTGGAATCAAAGTTGAACACACGGCTGGTACGTCTTAATATGCGGCCCATTTTTCACTTGGCTTAGCGCACCATTTGCATAGGCTGCACCCCTTGATTTCTTCATTTCACAGTCATTATGCCCTCATGTCCTTATTTCTCAGCGCCACTAATTTTGATGAACTATTCTGAAGGTCAGAGAGGCAGACGGGTGGTGAGACAATACGAGCTAAAACACACAGACAACACCAGATGCACGTTTGTACATTTATACTTGACTATGAAATCCTTACCAATTTATAATTGCCAATTTGGATGTTTCATTTTTTTTTTTAAATTTTTTTTTATCACACTTAAATTTTCAACAGAAAATATGAACAAACATTTACACTCAGCAAAAAAATGGATTTGCTGATTTGGACAATTTATATTTCATTTTTTTTCTTGTAAAATGTTCATAAATGTTTAATTTTTGGGTTTCCTCTTTAGTTAATATGAATTAACAATGAACAACACTTCTACAGCATTTATTAATCTTAGTTAATGTTAATTTCAGCATTTACAAACATTATTCAAATCAAAAGTTGTATTTAGTAACATTAGTTAATGCACTTTGAACTAACATGAACAGCTGTATTTTTATTAACTAACATTAACAAAGATAAATAAATACTGCATCAAATGTATTGCTTATTGTTAGTTCATGATAAATTAACTAATGTTAACAAATGATTAGGCTACTTATAGTAAAGTGTTACCAATTTAACTTCTTATATTTTTTGTGAAGGGTGGAACGTTTCTCGAAACCAAAATAAACATTTTAAAATAAATCTACTTTTCAGTTCCAACAACCAAATAAATCCTTTTAAACATCTAATGTAAAATGTAAACGCTTTGTAAAAAACTAACAACTAAACATTTACTAACTTCTCAGGACACGAAAAATTACAATGTCAGCCTGTTCCAATTAAACCCTTTATATCCACACCTTACAGACACACTGACACCAGCTTCACACCCTCATTTACTGCATGAACATGTGTGTGTGTGTGTGTGTGTGTGTGTGTCCACTTCTACCAAACCTCAGCTCTAGCGGAAAGGCTATTACAGCTCACATTTTACTGCCCATTACCACTGAGGTCATTAGTGGAGAGAGGGATGGGCCTCCTCTTAACCTATTGATCATTGTAACTACTAGCATTTAATCCGCTGGTGAATGAGCTGGAATCTCTTTAAGACAGGCCTGCCGCAGAAGAGAAGCACTTCAGCTGAAAAATATCATCCTGGCCACTATATCAGCAGCACTTAAGAGGAGTGAGGGATACCACTGCTTACTGCTCAGAGCTGTTCGCTCTTCTCCTCTGGCCGTAATTGTGGAAGTGTGCGGAATGAAATTATTATTATGAATTGCGGTAAATGGCCACATCGCTTGATAAGAGGTGAGGAAAGAACAAATACATATTTCAACTCGTCTCATAATGAAGGCGCTATGAGATAAAGCATATATCTGGTTAAACGAGATAGGAATTTTATGAACGCATATTTCAGCTGTCATGTGGACAGTTTTAAAGAGCACAAAACTTGTTTGCTGAGAAAGAGAGAGAAAGAATAGTTAGGAGATAAGAAAAGTGAGCATGCTTAAGAAAGCTGACGGTTATGAATTTCACTAGAAAGAGGTGTAGGTAGGCCAGGTGTGAGTGTAGCACATTAACACACAGAAAGTGAAACATACTCAAACAGCTGCTATGTGACTGTAGGCAATGTGCTAGCGCAGGCCTGCTGTCCACAGGCCCTACCCAAACTACACACACACACAGTACACTCAACATTCACATGCCAACACAAGCAAACATCTGCAATGTGCAAAAATTAATAATAAGTGAACCTGATACTTAGGCCAAGTTGTACAAGTGATACTTGGATTAAGCCAGGATTAGGCCTTAGTTCAATTAGGACATTCAAGTAGCTTTTATAAAGGTGCCTAAGAAAAAAAAACCCAAAAAACCTTACTGGTGTGAATCTTGAGACAAAACAATGGCACTGGCATATTTTAAGATATGTCAGTGCAAGTTGCTTTCAGTTAAAACAGCTCAAACATGCATTTGAGTCTGGAACTAGGTTTAAGCCTAGTCTGTGAAAGCGTCCACTAATGTTTTAAAATGAAAAAAAAAAGATAAAAAAGTAAAAAATGTTAACAAAAAAACAAAAAGCTAAAGAAGGTAAATATAACAAAAAGAAAATGTAAATGTAAAAAAAAAAAAAAAAAAACATAAAATAGGTCAATGTAACAAAAAGACCAATATTTAAAATCAATAAAAAAATAATACTGAAAAATAAATAAATTCAATATATTATATTAATCACTTTGCCTCTTCAATAAAAGTGCAAACATTTGTGGGCATTAAAATGAATGATATTACATTTATTATTAGTTTTTAACTTGAAGGTGTTGAATCGCAAGGGATACAACAAAAAAAATGATGCCAGCTGGGAGATGGAACATCTCATTGTTCAGCTCATTTAAGTCTGGCGCTCAAATCCACCGTCCAGTTCATCTTCAGTCCATGACTATGAACAGGAAACGCCATCCAAAAAATACGGCTCTAATGAGGAAACATCTGACACACATCTGACGAACCTCAGAAACACTGATACTGACTTAATGAAGAACGCATTCTTCCTGAGAGTGCAAAATGTCATGCACGGAGAGAACGAGAGAAAGAGAGAGAGAGAGAGAGAGAGGGAAAGAGAGATAGGCAATTAAGATGAAGAGCGAAGGGGGGCAACTTCAATCAGAGCGTCTCGTACATTGAACCGGCCGCACGGAAACAGGTTGCAAAGAAAGAAAGAAAGAGGGCAAAAAAATAAAATAAAAAAAAAATCAAATTTTAATGCCAGCTCCCCGGTGTCATCTTGTTTTGTCAGGACATCAAATAGAATTGAGAAGTACAAAATAACAAGCCCTTGAGAAATCAGAGGAGGTTTGGTCTGTTTGAAGCCTCTTGGTTTACCTTGTCCAGAGATATAGGGAATAGCACTGTCCGTACGCTCATTTGGCATGGAGTGCCGTGGAAAAAAAGGATTTCATACTACGTGCGAGCTGTAATTATTCATTTGAATGCACAATTTTCATTTCTGGAAATGTAGTTTTGCCCAATTTTTTTTTTAAGTTCTAAAACAAATAATTTAACAAGTAAAAAAAAAAAGGAGAATCTGCTTAGAGTAAAAAAAAAAAAAGTTTAACATGAAATTGTCATTCCTAATGTATTAAATGGAGATATTCTTGTCTAATATTATGAAAACATGTACTATTATTATTATTGTTATGAAACAAAAAATCTCTAGGGCTGAAGCAAATATATATTTCATCTCCCCAGCCGCTTCTGAATAGCGAATAATTCCATTCCCTCTTCCTCGCTCTGGCTCTCGCGCAGCCCGTTTACAGTTCACATAAACAGGATAATCATAGTCACATTTTCTGCCCATTTACCGAGCAGATTCTGCGGGGGGAAAGCGGTCCATTCAAGGCAACTGTAAAAACAAAAATCCAGATTGCGCTTTAATTAACTTCTAAACCACAAACAAACAAGTTCTCAGCAGAGCTGGCCCGGTCTGCCGTAAAACAAACAAGCAGGGGCGAAGGAGAGCATGAGGTTCAGCTTTGCCTTTCCCACACTAACTCAACCCCACTGCAGGTGGGTGTCCCGAAGGGGTGGGTGGACCATCAGCCCCGGGACTCAGGGGATACTCACTTAATCTTGCACACAAACTGAAGGTGGGTGCAG